TCCACCCTCCAGATCCATCGTTATGGGTCACTGACAAAGATGACTAAGATGACAACACAAATCACAGGCTCACTGACAGCCGGAGACACTGTGTCAGACAGAATCACCAGGGCAAGGCGACTTCAAGTGAGAACAGAAAGAGGAGGTGAAGAGCCATCATTCCTGGGGGTCCCCCAGCTGCATGAGCAGAGGGGCTAGCCAACATTTAGGTCAAGAAATACAAGAAGCCCTGGTGAGCCGTGGTACAGACTTAGGGTCAAATGTCTGAGGGCGTCTGGGTCACCTCCGTCACCTGGTCTGAGTGTCTGGGCAAGTGTCTCAACACCTCTGATGGCAGACTCGTTGCCCTGCCCCAGGAGAGAACAGGAACGCATGTGCGTGTGTGTATGTGTGTGTGTGTGTGTGTGTGTGTGTGTGTGGTTGGAGGGATAGTTCAGGGCTTAAGGCATTTGCCTTCCATGAAGTCGACCCTGTCCTGAATCCCCGGCATCCCATATGGTGCCCTGAGCAATTCCAGGAGGGATCTCTGAGCACTGAGCCAGGAGTGACACCTGAGAACTGCTGGGTGTCGTCCAAAATCAAAAGGAAGAAGAAAAGAAAAGGGAATGAACAGACAGGGAAGGATGAGGACAGGTCCCTTTGGTGGTGGAATGGCCCTTGGAAATGCTAAAAGTGGGGGTGGGGATAGTCACAGACAGACAGAGGTATGGAGCCAAACCCCCTTAAATTCTATAATATTAAGATTGGTGAGAAGCCAAAGAAAACATTAAAAAATGAAAATGAATGTCAAATTGTGGTTGGGAAAAATATGTATAACACACAGATCGATTTACACATTCAAATATTGGTAATATATCTCATAAATATGTAGAGAGAGATTTGAAAATCTATAATAAAACTGTTGCAACTTAAAATAATGGACAAGTTATTGGAACAGACAACTTATAGAGAAGATACAAAATAATTAAAGAACACATGGAAAAGATGGTGCAAGCCAATAGTTATCAAGGAAGGGCAAATTAAAATTGCCGTGTGCTCGGGCTGGAGCAACAGCGGGTAGGGCGTTTGCCTTGCATGTGACTGTTCTGGGTTCGATTCCCAGCATCCCATATGGTCCCCTGAGCACCGCCAGGAGTATATCCTGAGTGCAGAGCTAGGAGCAACCCCTGTGTATTGCCAGGTATAACCCAAAAAGAAAAAAAAAAATAAAATGGGAAAGATTTAAAAAAAAATTGCCATGTGCCATTCCTATTGAAATGGTTAAAATAAAAAAAGAGACTGAGAACAACAATAACAACAACAAAAAAAAAACTGACAGTACCAAATGTGGGTGAGAATTCTTGTGAGGGTGTGAAAGAAAAAGTCACTTTGGGAAAATATTTGGCAGCTTTTTGTGAAGTTAAACAAATACCTGTCTTGTCAACTAGCAATTAGGTATTAACCTAAAGAGCTACAAAATCAGTCACTGGACCAAACCTGGAACCAATCCAAATGCCCATTGGCTGGGCAGAGGACAAACTGTGGTATATTCTTTCAAAGCTGTACCTTCAAGTTCCGACCAGGGATGAAGCACAGATAGAAACAATAGGAATGAATAACAAGACTGCATTGTTGAAAAAAACCCCAGACACAAAATCAAACATACTGTCCTATAGGACTGCATTTCTATAACATTCAAGAACAGATACAAGTTACCCAGAAAGACAGAAATCAGGGGCTGGAGTGATAGTACAGTGGGTACAGATTTACCTTGCACACAACGGGCCCAGCTTCAATATCTGGGTCCCATATGGATTCTCTAAGCATCACCGGGTGTGGTACCCCAAAACAAAACAAAACAAAGCACAAAAAAGACAAATTAGAGGCACACGTGTGCCTGCTGGCTGGCCGTGTGGCCCAACCTGGGTGGTCAGCACAGCTGTTGCTTGCAAAGTTATTTCCGGGGAGAACCAGGTGTTTGGTGCTGTGATAATGACACTTAGGCCAGAGCTGTGTCTTGTACACCCTCACCCTATCCTCCCGCCCCAAGCCCTCCCAAGGCACTATCACCTGGAGCTGTTTTAATTCATTGATGACTCAGTATGAGAAGCTGAAAGATATTAATGTGGCAGCTCAAAGCCATGAGGCTGTAACAGATTTCTAGGCAATTTAAAAACCAGCAGGCTGCTCATTTGCCTGGGAAACACTCCAGATCTATCTAGAAGACAAACTTACTAAATGTGATTTATACCTAGAAGAAGACGATTGTATTTGGTGTGATTTTTACCTAGAAGAAGACGAATGTATTGGGTGTGATTTTTACCTAGAAGAAGATGAGCTTATTGGGGCTGGAGAGATAGCACAGCAGGTAGGCCGTTTGCCTTGCATGCAGTCGACCCGGGTTCGATATTCAGCATCGCATAGCATCCCTCGAGCACCGCCAGGAGTAATTCCAGAGTGCATGAGCCAGGAGGAACCCCTGTGTGACTCAAAATAAAAACCAAAAAAATTTTTTAAAAGATGAGTTTATTAGCAGCCCCTGGATGTTCTGGATAGCCTCGCCTCTGGCCCATGGCTTTGGTCTTTGAACTTGCCAAGGATTAGTTAAAACAAGCCTCTCACACTGGTGGCCCATCTGGGCATCCACATCTCCATGTGTCCTCAGGGATGAAAGATGTGATGATTCTATACAGTGACACAGGGCAGGGGAGGAGCTCAGGGAGCGTGTGCTTGTTGCATGAGTCTGCAGACCTGGGTTCCATTCTTGGCAACGCCAGTGTGAGCATTAGCCCAGGAGACAATAAAGTAGAAAGCAAACCTTTTTTTTTGTGGGAAATCTTGAATCCAGACAGAATAGGGCGGCAGCTGCCTCATACTCAAAGGTGTGTTGGCCAGCCGTTATCTTGGCCCTTGTCAGCAGCCATGACGCTGACCAAGTGCTTGCCGGCAGAGGAGCTTGCTGAGAGGGTGAGGGAGGACCTTCATCCTGGTTTGTAGGATGCTCAGGGTGAGTTTTGAGGTGACAGAGCAGTGGAACGCCCTATGCGGCTTCTGCCGCCCACACCTCCCCAGGTTCGGTCAGAACTGCCGCAGAGTTTGGCCACGATCAGTGGATTCCTGCCTCCTGTCAGCTGAGCGGCCCGGTCTGTGAGGAACACTGAGGACCCAACTCAAAGGACCGAGCAATGTCCTTGGGTGTTACTCTCACTTCTCACACTATGTTTATTTTATATCCCACAAATTCATGCAATCATTCTATGTCTGTCCCTCTCCTTCTGATTCATTTCACTCAGAATGATGGAACACTGTATGACTGAAACCCTATCATGGATGACTTTGTAACTGCGCATCTCACAGAGATTCAATAAAATATATATATTTTATTGAATATATATATAATATGTATATGTTCATTTTTTTTTAAATGGGCCCAGTGCGCTGGGCGTCCTTTTTTTTTAAAAAAAAAAAAGGACGAAGCAGCCTGGAGCCACGGGGCTTGGCCCACGGTGCTCTGTGGGGCTGTTATTTCTGGTACTATCGCTCTATCTACATTTCTCCCTCATGCTTGGAACAACACCTCGGGGTAATTTGAATGGGAGCCTGTTTTTCCAGGATGAACTGAAAGGGGAAGAACTTTCCACAGTCCTGCCAGGCTGCACGGCAGGGTTTGCCCAACTGGGGTGCTTCTGGGCTCTCTCCCGAGGGCTGCAGTGACCATGGACGCAGCCTCCGTGGCTAGCCCACACAGTCAGAGTCCCTAACCCCTCTGCCCCCTCTTCCTGGCCGGCTGAGTGTTTCCCACCTGGCTCCCTTAGAATGACAACCCGCCTCCCTGACCCGGCTCCGCAGAAGCTCTCTGGAAAACAGGGCCGTCTGCGCCTTTGGCAGGGATTTCCCTGGGACGTGGAAAGAATGATCTTTCAAATTCTGCTCTCAAATACCCAGGAGAGAGAGAGAGAGAGAGAGAGAGAGAGAGAGAGAGAAGGGAAGAAAGAAAATAATAAAATTTCCATTGCAGGAATGTGCGCCGGGGATGCGCACAGCTCAAAGGCAGAAGGAAATGTTTTTGCTTTTTGGGGGTCACACCCGGCGATGCTCAGGGCTTATTTTTGACTATGCTCTCAGGAATTACTCCTGGCAGTGCTTGAGGGATCATATGGGATGCTGGGTATCAAACCGGGGTCGGCTGCATGCAAGGCAAATGCCCTCCCCGCTGTGCTATCGCTCCAGCCCTAAAGGCAGAGGGAGCGATGCTGGCACGTAAGCTGCTGCCTCACCCAGCCCTGCTCCCCGCATGCTGACTGACTTACAGGGCACCTTGGACTGTCTCCAGCCTTGAGGCCGTTCAAGCACACCCCACGCTCAGTAGGTGCCCCCGAGAGCCACGCCCAGCGCACTGGGCCCCTCGCGACATCCACCGTGTCCGTCTGGGAATATCCATGGTGAGTGGCCAGCGGCCAGTTATCTCCTCCCTGGCAGGCGGCCGGCTTTCCTGGGCTGGGGGACTGCCCGTGGTCACCAGCCAGCAGCAGCGCCCGAGTGTCCTCCAAGACTGGGAGGAGGAGTCAGAGAGTGTTTAAAGAGCGGGAGTGACAGTTTCTAGAGAGAGAGAGAGAGAGAGAGAGAGAGAGAGAGGCAGGGCTGGGAGGAAGCCCGCTCCTTCTCTCCTCTCTCAGCCTCACCCCAGGGCCAAGGCTGGAACCCCATTGATTCTCTCCTGCCCATTTTCCTGGGTTGTGGCTACATCCCAACAGCCACAGCGAGCCCTGACCTGGGCTCGCTCTGAAACTGTGAACATTTGTGCTGAGAGTAGCGGGAATTCCTGGCTTTCCTCAAAGCCTGATAAAAAGAATCTTGCCAGGAGGGTCCCTTGCAGGCAGCCCCTGATGGGTCTTGGGGGCCTGGCCCAGCGGCCCTGAGGGGTAGGATGCTCCAGCCAGACCCAGCCCATAGCCACCTGGCCTGGCCTTGACTCCCAGCAAAACCAAGTTATTTTTGGCTGAGAGTCCTTAGCCACCAACATGGTGTGGCTCTCACTCATTCTGTGGTTGGCGGCTTCGCAATTCTGTTCGGTTCATCCCTCGGCACTGGCCGCATGGAACTGTCCCAGCAGCTCAGCCCCGGGAAGTGGGAACTCCCGCGTGGGTAAGTAACTCTGCTGGAAGGAACTCGCTGCTTTCTAGCTCTCCACTACATCCCTGCTCCTTTGCTGGGCCTTCGTTGAGAGCTGGGCGTTCCGGTCCCGATCTGTCTGGTCTGTTCGCTTCACCGGTTTCTAGCCCGCCACTATTCTTCCCAGCTGCTGGAGAGAAAGCGGCTTCTGTCATCTACAGGAAGCTGCGGTTCTCGAGTCTGTCTTTCACAGACACCTGACTGCATTCTGCCCCAAGCTGGAACCTGAACAGCGGGTGGGCTTAGTGTTAGCAATGGGGAAACTGGTGGGCGTCCTTTCCTCAGCTTTTGAGCCACTCCCCCATGGTCTCAGGGTTTACTCCTGGCTCTCTGCTTGGGTTGCTCAGGGTGACTCCAGGGAACTGCACCGTGGCTAGAGATCGCAAACCCTGTGCTCTCTCCAGCCCCAGGGACTTCTTCCAAAAACTGTACTTAAGGTGTTTTTTTTCTAAAAATGTACATAAAGGAAAAATGCTTTCAGGTAAGTTCATGTATGAAATTAGAAGGGGCTGACGTATATTAGAGAGTGGGCAGAGAACTGGAACATGTGTGTAACATGACGCTGAGTTTTCAGAGAAAGCTCTTCCCCCATCTCGACATTGTCCAGCTCTCATGGAGCAGAGTCAGGGAAACAGGGACAACAACTCATAGGACAACCTTCCACGGTCTGGGCCACATTTAGTGCACTCTGAGGACACAGGAAGTGAGCGTTTCTCCAGGGCGAATAGCACCTGCCAAGGCCCTAGCCCAAATGTCTCTCTGACTTGGTGCTTTGTGGTTCTGTACTGGGCTGTGCAAACAGGAAGGTCATCCACAGCCGCCGGAGGCCACCACCTGCCCAGGCTGGCTTCTCCTCTTGCCCTGTCCTTTGTGGAGGGGGCGTGGGGGCGGGGGAGACTGGCTTCTCCAGGAAGGAAGGGTGGCAGGGGCAGGCGAGGTGTCAGGTGCTGCCACACAGCAGGGCAGCCACGCCGGCACAGGAAGGGCTGCACGCCTGTGTCCACACCTGGGACACACCCAGCTAGGCAGCGAGGATGCTGGGAACTTCTGTTGATTGACAAAGGATGCCACAAGAACAACCAAAGCGGGGGGCGGGGGGTGACCCTGGCAGAGGCTGGACACAGCCCAGAGTCAGATGGTAGAGGGCAGGGAGAGGTGGGGTTGGGCAGAGTCTCGGCAGGGGGGGCGGCAGGGAGCAGAGAGGGGCCAGTGATGTCCCAGGAACCATACAGAAGACCCCACAGAGGTACCTGCAATCCCGCAGGCTTGGGCCAACTCCTGGCTGAGAAGCCCCTTCCCCAGGAGCCCAGGACAAGCCGGTGGCAGTATGAGGTGGGTGGGGGTGGGGGGTCACCCCCAGCAAGAGGAACCCAGCATTGGATGCTGCACACAGCCCACCCAGGTGTGATGCAGGGCCACGGCCGAGCTGGAAACAGCTTCCTCTAACCATGGCTGCCACGTGTGGCCCCCTCTTTGCCACATGGGAATTCTTTGCAAATCGCTGGTGGGGACCCCCTGATTTGGGGGGGCAGGGTGTGGGCCAGCCAGGACAGCAGAGAAGCCGTGGCGGGGAGGAGTGCCCGGGCACGTGGACACTGGTGGCCACCAGCGCCCCCACGCCAAACCGTTGGCCTCCTCCCTGGCCCTTGGCACTGTAGAGGTGGGATAAGAGCTGTCTGTTCTGCAAGGCTAATGCCCACGTGACACCCAGGCGTGTGACACGCGAGTGGCTCAGGCCCGCTGACCCTCCCGCAGAGTGACCCGAGGGCCACTTCCCGACTCTATGGGCTCCTTAGCTCATGGCTGCTCCGTGCCCATACAGTTGGGGGTTTCTGTGCTCCGTGAATGGTTATTTAGATTTGGAAAATGCTTTTAAAAAATCAAAGTGCATCTTTTAGGTTTGGGGATGTTTTCCTGGGACCCTTTGCTTTCAACTGGCAGGGGGAAGCTTGGCCGCCAGTCTACCTGAAATCCAAATTTAACTGGGGAAGTTCTACCTTCTTTTATCTGGTAAAGCTGGATGAGGAACCTCACAGAGTTGTTCTTCTCTCCTCTCTCCCTTCCCCTCCCCCATTTTTTGGAGAGGGTTTTGGAGCCACAGTCTTTAGTGTTTCGTCCCTGTAGTCTACATGCAACTCAGATGTAGCTCCCGCCCTATATTTTATGTTGCAAAGGAAACAGGGGCACAATATCCCCAGACTCCTTGGAACTTTTCTTGCCTGCACCAAGATCCCTGCTCTCCACCGTCTTTTCTCCTGTATCATTTACCCCGAAGTCCCTGTTCATGGAGGGAGACCACAGGGAGCCTGGCGCCATTCCCAAAATGATGACATCGTTTCTTTTATTTCCGCTCTACATAATTAGAACCTCTTTCCATGAGAGGCCTTTCCACCGTGGAACACAGTAGGGGCTTCTTGAGGAAATTTTACACATAAGAGTGGAAAGTGCTTTTCTTCTTTCTCCTTCAAGTAGTTTTGTTCCCCCTCCCTAACTTGCAATACTTATTTCCGGCAACTTATTTTGTGTAGGTGAACTTCAAAGTTCTAGGACCCCACTGGGTGTTGTGTGCAGAAGCCCCAGGTTTGATCCCTCTCCCGCAAATCCTGGTCTTCTGAGCATATTTGAGGAGCAGCCTCAAAACAAAACACAAACAAAATTAAGAACCCTTTTATTGCCTATTTCTGCGTTCTTTAAATACTGGAATTTATTTAAAGCAATTAAAGAGGGGGCAGACAGATAGTACAGGGTGGGGTCAAGGTCTTTGCTTAGGTTCCCTTGACCCTGGTTTGATTTATTTCCAGCACAGCGTGACCCCTAAGCACCAGTGGGCATGGTCCAAAGTCCTCCACAAATATGAAAGGCAATTAAAAAGTATCGCTGCTTGAGGGTGGTCATGGGGCAGTATTTTGACTAACTTGAGTAAAATATCATTGAAAACCGCTTGCTTTGGTTTCTTTGTTCTTGTGAAGGTCCTGTCCCCTTCTTAATTTTCTCCCACGGAAATAGTATCTACAGAATTGACCCAGAAGGAACCAATTATGAAAAACTGGTGCCTGATGCTGGTGTTTCACCCATCCTGGATTTTCACTACAAGGAGGAAAGACTCTATTGGGTCAATTTAGAACGTCAGCTGTTGCAAAGGGCTTTCCTGAACGGCACTGGGCAAGAGGTAAACTATCGTTTCCCCGTAGTGTTTAAGGGATGTTGAACAGGGCGAATTAGGAACACACAGACCAATGAAAATTGTGTTGCCATTCAGTTGTGTGTCCGGCCTTAATTAGTATTTCTTTAATCTGCATCTGGAATATCGCTCATTGAACAAGTCCACGAATGCAGTATTGATCTTTAGAAGTCCCCACGGGGCAGCTGGCCCTGTAGGGCATCAATGCCATTTTGTAGACAGTAGCACAGTTTAGTGAAAGCATCATTTTATGGTTAAAAACAGATTTCTTATTCAGTATTTTCCACTTCAGTGGGAGTAAACATCTGTTTTGCTTGCTTTGCTGGTTTGGGGGCCACATTGGGTGGTACTCAGGACTTATTCCTGGCTCTATACTCAGGGATTCCTTGTGGTGCAGCTCAGGGGACCATAGGGGTGTTGGAGGTTGAACCCGGTCAGCTGCATACAAGGCAGGCACTCGACCCTCTTAACTGTTGCTCTGGCCCCTGGAAGGAAAATTTTGTTCCCCAGTGGAAAGTGGGTGGCAATTTGTGGACACAATTTTGGTTGTCACCGTGGTGGTGGGGAGGAAGCAGGAAGCAATACTGACTTACAGTGAGCAGAGCCCAAGGAGAGTGATCAACACCAACTGGACACAGTACCCCTCCACAACAAAGAGGAAATGCCTCAACTGTCAGCAGTGCTGAGCTGGGGCAACGTGGTTTCGGCCTTCTGCCAAATCACATCTGTCATGAATTTTTGATACCTGATGTTCGGGGGGCGGGGGGACGGGATCCTCTTTTTGAGTTTCATGGTGTTTGTATGTAAGGGGGAAAATTAAAGAAGATAATAACAGGTGTAAATGAAGTTTCTTCAAGTTCATCAAATGGTATTTCCTTTTTCTTTTTTAACGGGTCAAACCCTAAATGGGCCTCAGAAGAAATTTGCTCTCAGTTCTGGGAGGAGGTTAGGAGCCCATGATGAGGGAACCCTTAAGCATTCATTCTTCACACAAAGCATTCACTGTTGATTTTTCTGTTTAACGAACCTTTCTCCAATCCTTAAGAGCTTTAATAAGATGCTAATCTGTTTGATCACAGCTCTAATACTTGCTGATCTCACTTTTAACACGGATGGCTACTCATTATTCTCCCGACATCTGTACAATAGTCACACAATCTTGAACCTAAGAATGTGGAGGGTTTCTTGTCACAATATAAAATCTTACATAGCTGTGAATTTACTTTTAAATAACTAGGAAAGATTGGCTTGATGCCTGAAATCTACTACTCTGGTCTACCTTTGGATGATAGCATTGTTTATAAAGAACAACTGTTACTACCCAAACAGTTTACTGGGTGAGCCAACGTGGATATATGAGTGATCGGGAAGAATATTGGCTAGCTCCCTCCCTGTGTACTGGGGAATTAGAACAGGCTCCTCACTGAGTTCCTCTCTGACCAGCACCATTATGTTGGCAGCAGGAAATGGCAATTGTGGGAATATTTGCCCCAGGAAAATCTAGTCTAGTACCTGCCTTGCACACATGAGGCCCTGGGTTTGATCCCAACACCATCGCCAGAAGAGAAAAAGCAAAGAATCCTTGCTTTAGGGAGTAGGTGGAGACCCTGAGGAGAAGGAGAGGGAGGACTAAGGAAGAGGGGGGACCAGAGGGAAAATGGGCCTGAAATCTGCATGGAGACACTAAGAATCAGGTCCTGGTGAGAATCTGGAAAATTCCACTAACAAATGAAACTGAATATACTTGTCTTTAGAGAAATTCTTCTGGGAATTACTAAACATCGAATTACTTTCTGCTGCAAAGCTATATCCTAAATACTACACCCAGGTATATTCACAATGAAAGGTTAGTGCCACTAGGCGAAACTTCACAGAGCCTAAACTATTACACCATGTCTGTGATTATTTTATCACTTAATAACTTGGGGGAACAGGCAAGTACTTGAGAGAACAAACTTTTGTCTGTGTAACAGTAGTAACAATTTTGTTTGAATGGGGGCCTATCGATAACCATTTTAAAATTTGATTTTACAGACACTATGTGCTGTACAGGAATATGTCTCAGGAATGGCAATAAATTGGATAAATGAAGAAATTATTTGGTCAAATCAACAGAAAGGAATCATCACAGTGACAGATATGAAGGGAAACAATTCTCGAGTCCTCTTACGCTCTTTAAAATACCCTGCAAATATAGCAGTTGATCCAATAGAAAGGTAACTTGGACTGATTTTGAACAGTGAAATATTTTTCAGGGGCTGGAGCAATAGTAGAGCAAATAGGGTACTTGCCTGGCACGCGACCGACCCAGACTCAATCCCCAATACCTCTTATGGCCCCCTGACCACCACCCGCAGTAACTTCTGAGTGCAGAGCCAGGAGTAACCCCTGAGCATCACCAGGTGTGGCCCAAAAACAAAACAAAAAGAAATGTTTTTGAAATCTGATGAAAATCTGTAGAAACATAACAGAGGCAGTGACACATTGAGATCCAGGCCTGTGGTACGAACATTTGGGTAGGGGAGCTATTTCCCAAGCAGTTTTTAGGTGACCCAGTGGCTACTCCAGCTGGGTGGAACTCACCCAGTGGTGCTCAGAGACTTCCAGGGCCACCCCTAGAGTGCTGGGGGTGAAGGGGGGGCCTCCAGGGCTACACCCCCTGATGTGTGGGGAAACCATGGCACAGAAACTAAAGATCAAACCGGGGTCAACCGTATGCCCTAACCTCTGGGCCATCTCTCTGGCCCACAAACACCATTTCTAAAGGGAAGGGTGCTTGTGTCTGAGCCAGAAAGACTTTCCCCCCAGGACCTGGCTCCCAGCCACAGACACAGAATTCTCCTTCTGTCTGGCAGTCACACCAAATTTCCCTAAAACACGAGTCTTTGCACCTATAAAATGGTATTTCCACCCCTATCCCACCAACTGGATGTCCTCCCCAGAGAGTCTCTCTGATGCTGTGTCCAGCTGGCTCAGTGACCCATGTGCCCGCGGCGCATGTCTGTCCTCAGGTTCCTGTTTTGGTCTGCGGAGAAGGTGGGCAGCATTCACCGGGCAGATCTCCGTGGCATGGGAGTGAAGACGCTGATCCAAGGGGCAGGGAAAATAGCTGCCATGTCTCTGGATGTGGCTGAGAAGCGGCTCTTCTGGAGCCAGGAGCTGAGGGGAGGAGACGGCGCTCACGTTTGTTCCTGCAGTTATGATGGACGTTCCACACAGTGCAACAAACAACTCCTGCGGTAAGTTTTGCTCTCCGTATAAAATGAACCAATGGTGGGATCCGTTACGTTTTCTCTGTTAGTTAGGTTGGTGTCTTGGTTTAGCGTAGGGAGTTTGGCGCCCAGAACTTGAAGTTAAGCAGCCAAAGAGACAATGCAACGTGCTGGGCTCATGTAAGAGGCGGAGGCTGGGTCCCTGACACTGCACTGCAGATCTGGGATCCCCCGGGCACAATACCCCAGCTTAGAGCCATGAGTAACCCCCAGAGCATCACTGGGTATGGCCCACCAACTCTTCCCAGAATAATTTTTAAAACCTGTAGGTCAAGTGCTAGGCTTACCACAGGTATTAGGGAAGTAGTTTGAGGAAGATTGCATGAGTTTTACCCTCACTTTTTGGTGGGAGTAAATTAATTATTAGACATATTATTTGCTATGGTAAAGAGTTAATAAATACAGAAGAGTATTGGACACACAAAAGCTTTTCATCTATGATTGATCCTGCTTAATCTCTTTGTAATGCTGCTGTTGTATATTTGGGGAAGTTAGAAACCAACTCTCTGACTTATGGCAAGAGACAGAAATGAGTTGTACAAGGAGCCAGAGAAATAGTACAGTGGGTAGGGCACTTGCATTGCATGCTGCTAACCCAGTTAAATTCCCAGCATCCTACCTGCTCTCTTGAGCACACCTGGGAGTAATTCCTGAGTACAGAGACAGGATTAACCCCTGATTACCACTGGGTGTGTACCCCCTCCCCCCAAATATGAGTCTTATGAAATTGACAGAACTAGAAATGCTCTCTTATATAGATTCTGTTTTCTTCCCTATTTTTTTCCATATTTCTTTGTGCTGACTAGCAAAATAAAATAAGAGAGGGGTCAGGATCTGGAGCCTAGAAGTGCTGTCCTATTAAATCAGATCTTGAATATATCATGAAAAACATTTTTAACTTAATATTTAAGTTTCTAAGGTTAAAAAACAGAAACAGTAGAAAGCCAGGCAATAAATTCTGGGCAATACATTAAAATTAAATGAAACCTTCAAATTCCCAGAAAGGTTCTGCCTTCCTTATGGGCTTTTTCATTCTTTCTTTTTTCAGGAATGCTTTGTTCTCTATGTCGCCTTTTGGTGATCGCATCTTCTATTCAACGAGGGACAAGAAGACAGTTTGCATCGCTAGCAAGCACACGGGGAAGGAGATGGTTCATATTAGCCTTCCGCTGCCACTTCTGCCACTTAAAAGAATAAAAGTGGTGCACCCGGGTGTCCAGCCCATGGCAGAGGGTGCCACATGGGGATCCGGTGAGTCCTCTTTGATCTGAGATGGGTCCTGCACTCTGTTCCCATTCTCCCCTTGCTCATGCCACTTTGGGGTCACCCTTGGCCTTGCAGGTGATAGTGAACATGATCAGGTTACTTTAAGCCTAGAAGCCACGTCAGGCTCCGATTATCTTGCTAGAAAACTTTCTAGGTGGTTCTGCAGGTGGAATTGTGTGCCGGGAGGGCAGGGAAATGCCAGAAATGGGTACAAAGCAAGGAACGATGATGGTTCCAGGGACTCTGCTGAAAGTAACATCTATTTGTGTATGTATTGGGGGAGGGTGTTATTTATTTATTTTAATTTTTATTGGTGAGACACCATGAGGTACAGTTGTAGACTTACAAATTTTCGTGCTTGGGTTTCAATTATACAATGATCAAATACCCATCTCTCCACCAGTGCCCATTTCCCACCACCACAGATCCCAGTATCCCTCCCACTACCCATCCCCCCCATCCCACCCTGCCTCTGTGGCAGGGCATTCCCTTTTGTTCTCTCTCTCCTTTTGGGTGTTGTGGTTTGCAAAAGAGGCAATGAGTGGCAATCATGTTTGGTCTATAGTCTACTTTCAGCATGCTTCTCCCATCCTGGGAGAATCCTCCCAACAAGGGTGTTATTTTTTTTATTTCTGAGCACACTGAGTTGTGCTCAGAACTTGCTCCTGGTTCTCTGCTCAGGGATCACTTCTGGTGGTGCTCTGGGGAGAATATGTGGTGCCAAAAATCGAACCTGGGTTTCTGTTGCCATTCAGGTTCCTGGAGGAAGCGCCCTGAGAAGGTGCTGAGTGACCGAGTGAGAGTTAAAAAGCATGTGTTACTGTCCACTCGTCTTTTCTTCCTGGTTATTTTCTATTAACAAAGAATGAACTTCTGAACTATGCCATCCGGGAAGTTCTTTGAGAAACTTGAGGCAATCAATTATTTGGAGAACTCATTAATGAGAAAGACAGTAAACAAATGAAACAAAAGTACAACTGGATTTGTGTAGGGAAAAGAAGCAATAAATTATATTTTTTATATTTGCATATGCACATTTGTATGTACAGTATATATTCAATGTATAGTACATATACTTAGAAATTAAACATATATGATTTTAGATATCAAATATTATAATTTAACATGCATATTTTCTTTAAAACTTAGTATGTTTTATTACATATAAATATAGAGATATATTTTATATACTATATACATTTAATATATAATATGATCATTTCACATATTTCATAAAAATCAACTATATATAACTATAAACATGTTTTCCATATATATTTGCTTATATGCTTATATTTATATGTGTTTATAATACACATATTTATATCCATATGCATTATATATATTTGACACAGTTAATTACGGACTAGAGTGATAGCACAGCGGGTAGGGCATTTGCCTTGCAAGCGGCCAACATGGCTGACCCGAGTTTGATTCCTCTGCCCCTCTCAGAGAGTCCAGCAAGCTACCAAGAGTATCTCGCCTGCACAGCAAAGCCTGGCAAGCTACCCGTGATGTATTAGATATGCCAAACACAGTGACAATTGTCACAATGGAGATGTTACTGGGCCTGCTCAGGCAAAATCGATGAACAACGGGAGGACAGTGATAGTAGACAGTGATAGTGGACAGTTAATTGCATATTTCCTGTAAAAAGCCAGCCAGGGCCAGAGAGAATACAAAGCTTAAGGCGCCTGCCTTGCAGTGCAGCTGAGGCTGGTTGTATCCTGGCAGGAATATGGTCCCAGGAACCACGGGCTCACTCCGAGCACAGACCCAGGAATAGCCCTGGCTGCCAGGTAGAAACCAGCCCCAAAGGCAGGCTCTGTGCGGTGTCTCATGCCGTGAGACACAGCGGGGACAGGGCTCATGTCATCGTATCCATGTGTAGACTCTGGCCGTAGAACGGGGCGAGGTCTGCCATCAGGGCTGCTGCTGCTCACTGCCCTGGTGTTCTTGGTCGTTCTTTGCTGACCCATGGAATGAATGAACACTGTTCCAAGGCTTGTCATCAAAGGTAATGGCCTTGTAAATGCTTTATGGGGGCCTCAGATTTCTGGCCGTGTGTCCCCAGCATTGGAGGTGCACAGGGCTTGGACGAAGAGCAGTGAGGGTGGGCGGATGGAGCAGACACTGCTACAAAGGCCAGAGCAGGGGCCACACTCCCAGGGGCTGCAGCATGGGATGCATGCGGGGGGCTGGGGCGCAACCCCGGCCTCTCCCCATAACACAGTCCTGCGGCGGGGTTTCCTGAGGTCAGTGGCGGTGCCCAAGTGCTCGAGAGCTCTGGCCTATTTTTGAAGCTAAAGAACTGCAGCTGATTAAGGAGATTAAAAGGAAATACTCTAGATTCCCACGGGCAGCCCTCTGCTGGGCCCTGAAGGTGCTTAGCGTCTGGATTCAGGGCATGTCATCAACCAGGGCTTCCGAGAGCTGGGTGGGTTGAGCCAGGCTGTGGAGGGCGGGCGTGGCTAAGATGCACCAGCCACGGTGCGGCCTGCCTGGACCAAGTCTATCCCCAGGGAAAGAGGAGGGGGCCCAAGCACAGTGACCCCATGCTGCTTTCGTGGGTGCTGCAGCTGTGAGTGTCCAACCGCCCTGTGGGATGCCCCCTGTGGCCGTTGAGGCTGGGGCTGGGAATGGACACATCCCCTATGCCCAGAAGCTCACCGATGAAGGAAGCCCAAAGAGGCTCTTTCATGATCTGAGCCACAAAATAGCCAGGGTGGTGGTATCTTCTTAGGGCCAAATCTTTTTGGTTCTTTTTTTTTTTCTTTTTGGGTCACACCTGGCGATGCACAGGGGTTACTCCTGGCTCATGCACTCAGGAATTACCCTTGGGATGCTGGGAATTGAACCCGGGTCGGTCGTGTGCAAAACAAATGCCCTTCCCACTGTGCTATTGCTCCAGCCCCTCTATTTTGGCTCCTTAAACAGACACGGCATTCCAGCATTTGGAGGGTTTTGTCATTATCGTTGACTCTAGTAAATCAGAATGAAATCACGGACAGGGTGTGCTTTGTGTCTGAAACCCCAAGGAGGTCCTGGACTGCGGGTGAGGGGGTCTCTACCCAAGCACTGGCGGGAGGAGACACGCTGGAGTGTGTGAGCAGGTGGAAAGCACCAGCCCCAAGCACACTTAACAGGAGATCAGACTTAAGGGGCGTGAGGTGGGCGGGGGGTGGCACGAGAGACAGAACGGGGTTATGGCACTTGCCTTGCAGTGCTGCCAGATCTGGTTCGAGCCTCACCAGCTATGTCCATGGAGCACCAGAGTTCAGGCCTTCGCTTTGCCAGCGGCAGACATGGGTTCGACCCTGGGCACTGCATACAGCCTCCAGGGCACTGCAGATGTGTTCCCTGAGCACAGAGCCTGCAGTGAGCGCCAAACCAAACCCACGCATCACAGGTGTGACCCCGAATCCAAACAAACAAACAAGAGAGGAGGTTAGTATTGTACAGCGAACAAGACACTTGCTTTTTTGCCTTTGACTAACCCTGGTAGAACCCCTTGCATCGAATACGGTCCCCCAAGTCCTGCCAGAAGTGGTCTCTGAGCCCAGAGCCGGTGAGCCCTGAGCACTGCATAGTATGGCTCACGGGAAGTGTAAAGGGATGGGGCCCCCTCCCCAGAGGAAACAACTCCTCTCCAATCAACCATCTTCCTCTTCAGCTCAGAGGCACTGCAAGCTGAAGAGAGGCAGAGGTGGAGAATGCACCTATGGTCAGGAGCCCGCACCCCCTCTGTGCCCATGTGCTCAGGGCTTCAGGCTCAGCCAAGATGGAAAGTCCTGTGAAGGTAACGGCACCGGGTGGCGGGGGAAGGGGGCTCGGAGCAAGGCCAGTCCCTCTGTCCTGGCCAGTTGCGCTGCAGACCCTCTGTGCAAAACTAGTCACTTGCTGTGTTCCCCGTCCCCAGAAGAGCGATTCATCCCCCGACTCTCCTCCTAGCCCCTGAAGTACTTCTCAGTCCATTCAGACTTTGATCCTTCACTGAGTGCCGAGGCTTTCTGAGGCCACTCGGGGCTTGATAGTAGACAGGTGGCTGTGCAAGTATGGAAGCTTCCAGATTCTTCAGGGGACAGTCGGTAGCTGCTGTTGATTCTCCAGGACATTGGCACTCCCATAGCTCAGTGCCTAACGGGGCATTAGACTCCCCAGAGAGGGGTGCAGAGTGATCTGAGCCCCAGGCCTAGGGGAGTGACGCAGGAGAAATTCCTCACCCTTTGCTCCTGGGAGCCCAGGAAGTCCTGATGGAAAGAATCCAAAGGCTTCACCTCAGGCTCTGGGGTAGACTTGAGGAGGCCTCTGCTGGCTCCCAGACTTGCCTGGTGGAGTAGAGGTGGGGCAGGGAGGTGGCAGTCATGACAGCTGGGCCTTAGCCCTGACCAGGAGTCCTGTTGGGGTGACCAGGCCAAGGAGCAGAGCAGAAGGGGCCCAACCCCTGTGGAGGGCTTTCTAGAGCGGGGCTGGAACAACAGCACAGCAGGGAGGGTGTTTGCCTGGCACGTGGCTGACCCAGGTTTGATCCCCGGCACCCCAAGTATCCCCCAAGCTCACCAGGAGTAACCCCTGAGTGCAGAGCCAGGAGTAAGCCTTGAGCACAGCTGGGTGTGATCCAAAACACAAAAACCCAAAAGCAAGCTTTCTGGATTTCTGCCTCAAAGGGCTGTGTCTTTTCGAGAAACTTTTCCAAAAGAACGTTCTGGTTGGGAAGCTCTATTTGAGAACAGAAACCGTGACCTTCCCTGGCCTCTGGCACCCTTCACGGGTGTGAGAGCCAGCACCTTCCAATTCTCCCACTGCCCACCCCCATCCAGGAGAGTCGGGACCCAACACTGAGGGGCTTGGCTGTGGCACAGCCACTCTCCCGAGTCACAGCTCATTGTGGTGTCACTGTCGTGTAGATGTCAACGAGTGTGCCCTCCAGAACCATGGCTGCACGCTGGGCTGCGAGAACACGCCCGGGTCCTACTACTGCACGTGTCCTGAGGGGTTCGTGCTGCTGCCCGACGGGAAACAGTGTCAGAGTAAGTGAACACATGGTGGACGGCCGGCCTCCCTCCTCGCCCACCCCCACTCTGTCCTCCGTGCAGGCCCCAGGCCTGTCAGCCAACGGCGAGCAGCAAGTTTTTGGGAACTCTCCTTCGTTCCTTGTTAGAAAGCGAATAACTGAATCCTAGTCCAGATGTAGTGAATCAAAACCGCCTTGCTGGGAAATGTGTGTGTGTGAGTGTGTGTGTGTGTGTGTGTGTGTGTTCTGTGTGTATTGTGTGCCTATATAGAGAGAGGCATAAACATCTGAGAGAGAGGCATATTCTCTGAGTGACAAGCACACAGAAGACATAATCGTGATATATATTATCTATAAAATGGTTTGAATTTCCTACCAGTTCTAGACCATTCATGGGAAAATCTTCACATAACTTATTTATTTATTTAGTTAGTTATTTAATTTTTATTAGTGAAACACCATGAGGTACAGTTGTAGACTTACAAATATTTGTGCTTGGGTTTCAGTTATACAATGGTCAAGTACCCATCCCTCCACCAGTGCCCATTTTCCACCACCACGGGTCCTAGTATCCCTCCCACCCCCCATCCCCCCATCCCACCCTGCCTCCTTGGCACAGCATTCCCTTTTGCTCTCTCTCTCCTTTTGGGTGTTGTGGTCTGCAAAAGAGGCATTGAGTGGCAATCATGTTTGGTCTATAGTCTACTTTCAGCATGCTTCTCCCATCCTGGGAGGATCCTCCCAACACTCTAGGGAGCACCTAGAGAAGGTGCTCCCTTCTCTATCTAAGCTCCCTTTTCCTCTAGCATATGTGGCTGGCCTCCAAGCCATGGAGCAAAATTCCTGGTACTAATCTTGGCCACTCTTGGGTGTTAGTCTCCTATTTTGTCACTTTATGTTCCCTAGATGAATGCAATCTTTCTATGTCTATCCCTCTCTCTGACTCATTCCGCTTAACATGATACTTTCCATGTAGTACCACTTGTATGTAAATTTTATGACTTCATCTTTTCTAACAGCTACATAGTACTCCACTGTGTAAATGTACCAAAGTTTCTTTAACCAGTCATCTGTTCTCGGGCACTCAGGTTTTTTCCAGATTCTGGCTATTGTAAAGAGTGCTGCAATGAACAAACAAGTGCAGATGTCACTTCGACTATACTATTTTGCCTCTCTGGGATATATTCCCAAGAGGATACACATAACTTTTTAAATTTTTTTTATTAGTGAATCACCCTGAGGTACAGTTACAGACTTACAAACTTTCTTGCTTGTGTTTCAGTCATACAATGATTGAGTACCCATCCGTCCACCAGTGCCCATTCTCTACCACCAATGGTCCCATCATCCCTTCCACCACCCCCATCCCATCCCCTCTAACCCACCCTGTGTCTGTGGCAGGGCATTCCCTTTTGCTCGCTCTCTCTCCTTTCGGGTGTCGTGGTTTGCAATCGAGGTATTAAGTGGCCATCATGTTCAGTCTATAGTCTACTTCAGCCCGCATCTCCTATCCAGAGTGGGCCCTACTAGTACCCTTTACTTGGTGGCCCCTTCTCTATCTGAGCTGCCTTTTCCCCCAGCATGTGGGGCCGACTTCTAAGCTGTGGAGTAATCCTCCTGGTACTTACCTCTACTATTCTTGGGTATTAGTCTCCCATTCTGTTATTTTATATTCCACAAATGAGTGCAAAAACCTGAGTGCCTGAGAACAGATGACTGGTCAACTTTTTTTTAATTGAATCACTGTGAGATGCAGTTACAAGCTTTCATGTTTGAGTTTCAGTCATACAATGAAAGGAACATCCATCCCTCCACCAGTGCACATTCGCCACCACCAATGTCTCCAGTATGCCTTCCCTTTCCCACTTTCCCCTTGTCTCCATGGCAGACAATTTCCCCCATACTCTCTCTCTCCTTTTGGACATTAGATACAGATAATTTTCTCATGAGCATTTTGGCTCAGAGACAAATCTAACAGTCAAATTTTTTATGTTAATTTTTATCTCTTTTTTAAAAAAAACTGTATTTAGAATTATTGTGAGTTGGTTCCTAAGACCTTCCAAAGGTGACCCATGCACATGTTCAGGACATGGTTCAACAACCTCCTCAATCTCTTCAAAAGTATGACACTTTTGCTTTGGGGGGTGGGAGGGGGCAAGGCACACCTGGCCGTGATCAGGGCTGACTCTGCACTTAGGGATCACTCCTGCAGTGCTCAGGGGACCATGTGGGGTATTTTGAATAGAGCCCAGCTGGGCTATGTGTGACACAAACCCCTTAACCATTGTCCTGTCTCTCCAGCTTCTCACTAAAAGGCTTTCTTTTTATATTTTTAAAGGTTTTCATTTGTTTGGTTGGTTGTTTTGGAGGTTATACCCAACGGTGCTCAGGGGTTACTTCTGGCTCTGCACTCAGGGGTCACTCCTGGTGAGCCTGGGGGCCCTATGGGATGCTTGGGATCAAATGCAGGCCAGCTGTGTACAAGACAAGTGCCCTGCCCACTGTACGATAGCTCCGGCCCCTCATTAAAAGGCTTCCTTTTAATGAGAAATTGCAATTAGAGTAACAACTGTACCACTGTAGCACTGTCCTCCTGTTGTTCATCGACTTGCTCGAGCAAGCACCAGTAGTGTCTCCATTGTGAGACTTGTTGTTATTGTGTTTGGCATATTGAATACATCACGAGGAGCTTGCCAGGCTTTGCCGTGCGGGCGAGATACTCTCTGTAGCTTGCTGGGCTCTCCGAGAGGGATGGAGGAATCGAACATCTGCTTCAAACATTTCCTCAATTTCCCTTGGAGGGTTAGCATATGTTTTTGAAAAAGAGAGCTGTGTTATGAGTTTGTGGGGAGACTCCCAGTTCAAATTGAGGTGAACAGGTTCAGCCCATCCCTCGGCATCTTACTGCATCTGTCAGTGTGGCTAAATAGAGATGGGTTTAGGGTACTGCCCCAAGCTCAGCACCAAGTTGTCCATGCGATGAGACAAGCACGTCAAGGGGATGGGTAAACCACCCAGCTCCCAGACAAGTGACAGCCCAGAGGGTGAGGTGTTTGCCTTGCATGTGACCCATCCAAGTTCCAGTTCCAGCATCCCAGGTGGTCCTCGAGTGCCTTCAGGAGTAAGTCCTGAGCACAGAGCCAGGAGCGAGCTCTGAGCACTACCAGGGTTGGTGCCTGGGAACAAACAGCAAAACTGACCACCCGGCTCTTGCATGCCTCAGCTCTGCCCACGTGCACGGTTGGAACTTGCAATCTCATAAGTGATTCCGGAGCTTCTCTGGTACATGGTTTACATGTTGGTCTCTTATTTCTTTGGAGTCTATTTTGAGGTATGGTACAAGGTATGTTACAACTTTCACCCCAAATCACTACTCATTACTTCTTTTCCACTTACCAGATGGTCGTTTTATTCATTTTATTTTAATGAACCACTGTGAGATGCAATTACAGACTTACAAACTTTTATGATTGTGTTCCAGTCAAACAATGTTCAAGTACCCATCGCTCCATCAGTGCCCATTCTCCACCACCAGTGTTCCCAGTATCCCTACCTCTACCCCTTCCCACGCCCTGCCTCTGTGGCAGGTACATTCCCTCTTACTCTTTCTGTCCTTTTGGGTGTTATGGTTTGCAAGCAGCCATCATTTTTGGTCTATAGTCTACGTTCAGCATGCATCTTCCATCTCCAACCATCATTTATTTAGTGCTTCTTTTTCCATCCCAGCTATCTTTTCCCCCAGTGCATGAGATTGGCTTCTAAACCATGGTGCAGTCCTCCTGACCCTTATTTTTACTGTCCTTAGGTGTCAGTCTCCCATTATGTTACTTTATATTCCACAAATGAGTGCAATCATTCTATGTCTGTCCCTCTCTTTCTTTTTTTTTCGGGGGGGGGTCACACCCGGCAATGCTCAGAGTTACTCCTGGCTCTGTACTCAGGAATCACTCCTGGCAGTGCTCAGGGAACCAAATGGGATGCTGGGAATTGAACCCGGGTCAGCTGTGTGCAAGGCAAACACCCTTCCCACTGTGCTATGCAGTTACAGACTTACAAACTTTTATGATTGTGTTCCAGTCAAACAATGTTCAAGTACCCATTGCTCCATCAGTGCCCATTCTCCACCACCAGTGTTCCCAGTATCCCTACCTCTACCCCTTCCCACGCCCTGCCTCTTCTCCCGCCCCTGCCCCTCTCTTTCTGACTCATTTCACTTAGCACGATATTCTCCATGTTGATCTACTTATATGCAAATTTCATGATTTCACTTTTTCTAACAGCTGCAGAGTATTCCATTGTGTAGATGTACCAAAGTTTCTTTAACCAGTCATCTGTTCTTGGGCACTCATTTTTTTCCAGATTCTGGCTATGGTTAATAGTGCTGTGGATGGCCGTTTTAAAGCTTGATGGATTAAAATGTCTTTATCCCACACTATAGTCTTTTCTAGAATGAACTTTCTATCTGGCTTCATTATCTTTTCCTGAGTGAGTTCTTGCTTTGGTTTGTTGGGGCAGAGGGTCCCTAAGCAGTTCAGGGCAGCCAGATGGCCCTTCCATGAGGATCGGTGTCTGGCCAGGGCGCAATGTTCGGACCCCACACCCACTCCCGGACATTTGTCCCTGCATCCATGTCCAGTTGGTTTTGGTTTCTTGGGGGGCCACACCTGGTAGTGTCCTGGGGGTCGACGCTGGCTCTGCACTTGGGGACCCTGGGTGCAGGGGGTCAGACCTGATTCCTGCATGCAGAGCACTCAGCCTTTGACCTTCCTCTCTTCTCCTTAACGAAACCTTTACCTATTGCACATTTGAGATGCATTTTGATATTTGTGAGGGACCCTCATTCTCCTCCTGTACCAAGCCACAGACACATTTCTTAGTTTTTCTTATACAGCTTGTTTTCCGGATGAATTTGAGAACTATTTAGCCAAATTTCATTGAAAATATTTTGGAATTTTCACAACTGATTTTATTTGTTTTTTTTGGGGGGGGTCACACCCAGTGGTGTTCAGGGGCTACTCTGCATCTCTCTCTCCCTCTCTCTCTCTCTCTCTCTCTCAGCAACATGACTGACTTTAAAGATTCTTTAACATAAAAGGGAGAGAGAGAGAGAGAGAGAGAGAGAGGAGGAAGAGGAGGAAAGAAGTGCCTCCCATAGAGGTGGGGGTGGGTGGGAAGGAAACTGGGGACATCTGTGATGGGAAATGTATACTGGTGAATGGACTGGTGTTGAAACATTGTATATCTGAAATTATCTAATCATGAGCAAATTTATAACTGTGTATCTCACTGTGATTCAGTTAAAAAATAAATTAGGGGGCTGGAGCGATAGTATGGTGGGTAGTGCACTTGCCTTGCACGCGGCCAACCTGGGTTCGATTCCCAGCATCCCATATGGTCCCCCAAGTACCGTCAGGAGTAATTCCTGAGTGAAAATCCAGGAGTAACCCCTGAGCATCATCGGGTGTGATGCAAAATATCACTTGATCACTTGATCACTTGACATCCCATTACTCATTGATTTGCTCAAGCGGTTGCCAGTAACGTCTCCATTCATCCCTGCCGCGTGCTAGTGTAGCCCAATGGCGTCTGCTCACTCCGGGAACATGAAGAGCTTCAAGTTCAGAGTCTTGATGAAGAAGTCTGACCATCTCATAGGTGGGCGGCCACAAGTTCTTTTGACATCCCATGGAATCCTGTCGGTAATGGCTCTAGTCCAGCAGGTCATCTCTAAATTGCATTATATGTCTGGCCCATCTGATTTTTGATGACTTGGCAAACAAGACAGTGTCCCTGATTCTTGATCGTTGACAAGAAGTCGGAACTCTGGATTCCTTCTCTCACTTGAGTGAAGTGTGATACTCCAAGCATAGCTCTTTTGATTTCTCTTTGGGAGACCCAAATAGCATTCTCGTCCTGTTTTCATAGGGCCCAGGTCTCTGAGGCGTATATTAGTGCAGGAAGAATGACGGTGTCAAAGAGGTGTGCCTGGAGCCAGAGTTTCTTTGTCCTCTTAGCTATTTCTTCTATGCTCTTGAAGGCGCTCCACGCTGCTCTCTTCCTCCTGTGCAGCTCAGGTGCCAGGTCATTCGTCATGTTGAGTTCTCAACCTAGGTACACATAGCTGTTGCATCCAGAGATGTTCGTTCCATTGAGAGCGAATGGAACGTCAGGAACTGCCACCCCCCTTCTCTCTCCAATCTCCAGCGACCCAGAGCTCACACCCATAAGACACTCCCTGCCAGCACCAGATAATCTCATCAGCCGATCTTCCTCACTCCAGGCCCCTTTCTGGACCACACAGCCACTCAACACATCATGAGACACTTCGTATCCATTTTCAATAATTACCACACCACACTCAATGGGCTTCAAATGGTGCGAACCATATGCTTCACCACCTGATCGTGGCGGGAGGTGGCAATGGTGCTGACCAGCGAAGAGTGCTACAGATTGTTACAACATGCCAGTCGACCAAACACTTGCATTCAGTAGACTAGGAGCACCTGTAAAGGTAATTGGAGGCCTCCCTAAAAGCTTCCATCCCTCCAAGAGAGCCCGACAAGCTCCCCGTGGCGTATTTGATATGCCAAAAACAGTAACAATAATGGACCTCATTCTCCTGGCCCTGAAAGAGATCCCCAATACAGCAGCATTAAGAAGGACGAGCAAGGATGCAAAATATAAAACATAAAGATTAATTTATTAAAATTAGAGCCATTTTCTAGAACCAGAAATCTTAATTTTTCCTTCAGATATGAAAGTCTTCTTTGTTGCCTTGTTGACTCCCTCTTCTGGGCTGGCTGAGTTTCGGGCAAGCAGCTGCTAGGGCCACGTGTCCTCCTGCCTAACCATCCTCCCCTCTCTCCTCCGACTCAGGCTTTGTGTCCTGCCCCTGCAGCGACCTGGGCTGCAGCCACAACTGTGTCCTCACATCCCAAGGCCCCACGTGCTTCTGTCCCGAGGGCTCTGTGCTCCAGGCAGACGGAAGAACTTGTTCTGGTGAGTTGATTTGCCCTTTTGGCTTGTTTGTGTGGGGGAGAAAAAAAATTCTATTCTGACTGGCACCTAAAAATTGAGCTTATTGATAAAGAAGAGATTTTTCCAGTCCTATTTATTGGAAGATATTTTTGTGACAGGAATGTAGCTGTAGACAGCACAGTGTAGTGGTTGGAAGCAGAGCTTGTATGTTTTCATTGAAAACTTTTTTCTTTTGCTTTTTGGGTCACACCCAGCGATGCACAGGGCTTACTCCTGGTTCATGCACTCAGGAATTATTCCTGGTGGTGCTCGGGGCATCATATGGGATGCTGGGAATCGAACTCGGGTCGACCACATGCAAGGCAAACACCCTACCTGCTGTGCTATTGCTCCAGCCCCCCCCCCAAAATTTTTATAAGCGTTTTGGGGGCACACCTGGGGATACTTGGGGGTTGCTCTTGGCTCTGCACTCAGAGATTACTCCTGGCGGTGCTCGGGAGACACTATGGGGTGCCAGGGTTCAAGCCTAGTCTGGTATGTGCAAGGTAAATGCCCTCCCCAGGAGCTATTGCCCCAGACAAATAAGTGAGAGCATTGGGAAGGGCTGTGGGCTGCTGTCAGTGCTCCGAGCAGCATCCGTGATGACTGTCACCTGCCCTCAGTCCTCCTCTGGAGAGGGACACGTTCCTGAGACTTCCCTCCTTTCATTCCATAGACTCAGAAGCAGAGAGAGAACTGGGGGCCTCCCACTGGCAACACATCGGTGCACCGCGCCTTCTTTAGTTTGTTTGGGAAAGCTAATGCAGGGTCTGGCGCGATAGCGCAGCGGTCAGGGAGCTTGCCTTGCACACTGCCCACCCCAGCTTCGATCCGTAGCATCCCGCAGGCAGGAGGAAGCCCTGAGCATCGCTGGGTGTGGCCCCCAAACAAAAACTAACAAACCCAACCCAAAAAAAGAAATCTAAAGAAGTTTAGAGACCCCAAAATGTGAGCCAGGATTAAAAATATATATATATATATATTATTTGTTATTTGAGTGAGAACAGATGCCAAAATACTTATCAAAATGTATTTCTTATCCCAACCAATACCCAGGACCCTTGTTTTGGATCTCAGGGATTTAAAAAAGAAGCAGGGAGGTGAGGGGCCAGTTTAGTGGGCTGGAGGGCATGGTCTATATGCAGGAGCCCAAAAGCCAGGAGAGGGGAAGGGGAAGGGGAGGGGAAGGGGAGGGGGAGGGGCAGGACAGGCAAAAAGGAGTCATGGGCATGCAGAGGGTTACTGTGCAGTGCCAGGCTATGGGGACGTGGGCTAAAGTGGCCTTTGCTCCTCCTCTGTGGAGAATAAACGGGACTGCAGCAGCCTGAGGGGGTGGAAGTGGTTAACTGCCAACAGAGCGTTGGCACACCGTGGTGTTGGGCCACGCCAGTCATGTTTCTGAATAACTCGCCACCAGGCTGCTCGTCACCTGACAATGGCGGGTGCAGCCACCTCTGCCTCCCACACGGCCCTGGCTCCTGGCGATGCGGCTGCTTTCCCGGCTACGACCTCCACCAGGATGGAAAGCGCTGCGTGGCCTCAGGTGAGTGGTGCAGTCGGGCAGTGGAAGGGAAGGGACAGGAGGGGGTGGGGTGGGACGCGGGAACGCCAGACCCAGGCAGACTGCCTGGAAGAAGAGTTTTCTGCCCGCCCTGACCCACACTGCGGGAGCCTGAGAAAACACAAGAAGAGGCAGGAAGAGAACATCAGGGAAGGGAAGAGACCCAAGTACCTTCTAGTCGCTGTTGATAGAACAGGGAGACCTCATGCCCCCACCTGGCTCCCTGATGCTCCCCAGGCTTAGTCCGGATTCAGCCTTGTTTGAAACTGGTTTCAGGGGCCCAGGCCTCAGCAGAACAGAGAGGGCGCTTGCCTTGCATGAGACCCACCGGGGTTTGATCCCCATCACTCCACAGGGTCCCCCCTGAGCACCGCCAGGAGGAAGCCCTGGGTGCAGCCAGGTTTGACCCCAAGCAAACCAACCAACGAACACATTGGTTTCAGGCCCGCCACCGTTTTTGCTGTTTGCCAATTCTCAAGACATTCGCTACATGCGTTTTGATGGAACTGCCTACAGCCGCGTGCTTGCTCAGCAGAAGGGCACCATCTGGGCCCTGGACTACGACCCGGTGGAAAACAAGGTGCCCGTGGTGCCCCCGCATGGCACAGAGATGCCCAGCCCGCTCTCCCGCAGGGGGTCGGTCTGGGGGCTCAGGCCATGTCACAGCCCCACACGAAGGGTTTTCCTGACCCCCCACCCCGCTCCTGGCCCAGATTCTGCTGCCTTGGGTGGGCGGAGGTGCCTGAGCAGGGTCCACCCTGTCAACTGCAGTCACGGCTGCACGGAAGCCGCAGGGGCCAGGGGAAGTGACTTTGGCTGGACCCCCAAAGTGCCCATTGCAACAGAGCACAAAGCACAGAGCCTTTATAGACATTGCACGCAGGTGCCAGGGACATCTGCCCCCTTCCCCAGTGAGGAGACACGTGCTTGCCTCAGTATACACCTGTCTGGGAGGCAGCCGGGGTGCAGCTGAGTGGCCCACGAGTCTTTCTGCAGTCAAGCCCCTCTGAAGGCTCCAGCCCCCTGCCCTGTCCCACCGGATCTGGATTTGAACAGGGCAGCCGGGCTCTCTTCTCTCCTTCCAGATATACTTCGCCCACAGCACCCTGGGCGGGATTGAAAGGGCCAACCTGGACGGGTCCTGGCGAGAGAGGCTCATCGAGGGAGACATGGGGGTGCCCGAGGGCCTCGCAGTGGACTGGCTGGGCCGGAAGCTCTACTGGACAGACAGAGAGTACGGCTCTGCCTTTGCTCTCCCTGGTGTCGATTTGGTTCTGCAGAAACTCGAACCCAGGGTCTCACACGTGCGAACATAAATCCTATTCCCAGGCTGTTCCCGCCCCTCCCCCCACAGTGGTGTGTGTGTGTGTGTGTGTGTGTGTGTGTGTGTGTGTGTGTTTGTGTGTGTGTGAGCCACTGTGAGCCTTGTGCCCCCTCCCACACCCCTGCACCCCTGCACGGGGACCTTCCTCTTTCCTGGCAACCAGGGGAAGGTTTTGAGGCACTAGGGGTACAGTGCAGGTGAGCCTGAGTGAATGCCCATGCCATCTGCTCTTTGGTGTGCCCAACTATGCTCTGGGGACTGTATGGTTCTGGGACAGGGCCCCAAGCCCCCTTGCACAGAATGGTTCTCATGCTGGTCTTGTGACCCACTCTGATTTCTGGGCACCCCTGGGGGCCTTTCTATAAGCTGCTCAGATGGAAGTGCACGTGGGGTGTGTGTGAACTCCAGGAACCTGCGAGGAGTAAGTCAGGTTGGGCACACGACAGGGATCTCGAGGGGTAAAGTGGTGAGACGGTGAGGCAGCTTTGCTTTTTGTTCGTGTGCTTTGTGGCCACTTCCCGCCACTCCAAGTGGGCAAGAGAGAGTCAAGGGCAGAAGAGCAGACCTGGCACCTCAGGGCTCGCAGCTGAGCCCTGCGCTCCTGGTCTGGCGGCCGAGCTGGGAATGGGTTAGGTGAGGGCTCGGGATACGGCTTGGAGCTGTGTGAGGGGACGTCAGGCTGAGCCGGGCCTCCTCTCCCTCTACATCTAGGAAATCCCGCATCGAACGGAGCGATTTAAATGGGAGCCAGCGCGAGACCATCCTGAAGACAGGTGTCACCCAACCCCTGGGAATCGCTGTGCACCCGTTGGCCAAGTAGGTGTCATGAGAATCAAACACCCTGCTGCTGAGGTGGTGTGTGTGTTTGTGTGTGTGTGTGTGTGTTTGTAGGAACATGGGTGCGTGCATGGGTGTATATGTTTTTGTGTATATAGATGTGTGTGTGCATGGGTGTGTATGTGTGTGTGCATGAATGTTTGTGCATGGGTGTAGGCCTGGGTGTATATATGGATTGTGTATATGTGTGTGTGTTCATATGTGTGTGTGCATGTGGCCCTGTGTGTGCTGACATGCCCAGTCTTTCTCAGACCGTGGGTGTCATTGGAACTAGGAACCAAGATGCCTTTACTTGAGGAAACACAGGCCAGCCGACATCCTTATCCTTGCAGTGACTTTGGAGCTTCTGTTCTTGCATAAAAATTTTATTGTTTAGGTGTTCTTTCAGTTTGAACAAATTTCCTTCTGCCCTTCCTGCCTTCCTCTCCCTCGCTCCCTCTCTCTCCCCTCTCTCTTCCCCCGCCCCCCCGCCAGTGGTGCTGGGGACAGAACTCTATGCTCCCACACATACATTCCAGCCCCTTGAACCATCTCTCTGGTCCCTCAATTTCGAAAGAAAGAAAGAAAGAAAGAAAGAAAGAAAGAAAGAAAGGAAGGAAGGAAGAAAGGAAGGAAGGAAGGAAGAAGCTGAAACTCAATTACACATAAGACCATTCAATTGCTTTCTTTAAAAAACTGACAATATTGCTTCTTGAGCAGAGAATATTTGGATTCTCTATGTGAGGAATTCTCCTTTTTTAATCACAGGGGTCGGGTGTTGGTGTCCAAGCATCTGTCTCCAGGTCTGAGGACCCTTGGGGCAGTCATTGGCACTGCACAAACACAGTGACAGGACATAGAATCACCAGCTAAACCCCAGGGTGAGTTCAGGCCACACCACATTCCTCCATCAGAACGGGAGGAAGGAGATTTGCCCCGAGGGAGCAGGAATGAATCTCAGAAGACTGGAGACTGGTGTTACTAAGAAGTCACAGCATTTGCTAATTTCAGTTCTGCGAATTCAAGATAATAAACGATTCTTTCCTAGCTGTTAAAAAAGGGATCCTGAAACCCAAGGGCAGAGACCCCTGGAGTTTTTGAAGGTAGTGGGAAGGGCCATGGCAGGGAGCGACCGGGAGCTGTCTCTGAGGTCAGCCTCCCCATCGCTGTCCAATCTTGCTCGCCTCCAGCCCCACACAGGACCCCGGAGCTAAGAGTCAGCCACGGATCTGTGCCTAGCACCCCCCACCGTGCTCTGCAGTGGCGCCATCACTGCCCTGGTCACAGTCAGTAGGGGACTCAGGGGACGCAGGTGGACTCAGGGGACGCACTCATGCAAAGGACATGCTCATGAGGCTGGGGTGGGGGAGATAGGAAGAGACCGGTGCACGGCCCCTCCCCAGCACCCGCCTGAGCACTGCTAGAGGGGCTCCCAAGGTCCTCAGCAACACACCCTCGCCCGAGCAGGCCCGCAGCCATCCTGGTTGGCTGAGATTGGCAGGAGAGACCGCTTGCACTCCTGGTCACTGCCAAGCGATAAATATATGTATGTAAATATATAGACATGTATGCACTTATATATGCATATTCATATGCACAAGCTCTGACAAACTTTCTGTTAATAACAGATGAATTTAAGAATGGGCTGCAGCCATAGCACAAGGCTTAAGGCACTTGCTTGCCCTTGACCAACCCTGGTTCTATCCCCACCCCACATCTGATTCCCTGAGCCCCACCAGGAGCGATCCCCGAGCAGAGTCAGGAGTAACCTCTGAGCACCACCTGGTGTGGCTCCAACAACAAAATTAAGGAAGAAAATAAAACTAATAATGTTTTTGTATTTTGTGGGTGGAGGGATTTGGATCATACTGGGCAGGACTCAGGGCTGACTCCTGACTCTGCACTCTGGGATCTCTCTTGGTGATGCTCAGGGTTTACTCAGGCTCTGCACTCAGGAATCACTCCTGGTGGTGCTCAGGGCTGGCTCCTGGCTCTGCACTCAGGGGTCCCCCCTGGCGGGGCTCAGGAGCCATGTAAGGTGCCAGGGACCCAGGTGGGCTGTGTGTAAGGTAAGTGCCCATCCTGCTGCACTATCTCTCTGGCCTCAGATAATTTCTTTTCTTTCAATCCAATGATCTGAGCCTTAATTTAGTAGTCCCTGCCATGATTCTCTGCTGAAAAAGATCTCGTCTTTGGCCTTTGCAACCGATCCACCCATTTTACACTTCTCTGCCCTCCCCGTCTCCCCTCCTTGCTGACCCACTCTAGCTTATCCTAAAGTGGCTGATATTTCCTGTGGCTTTTCATGCACATGTTCCGTGTGGCCCGCTTTTCTGATTCCAGGCGATTATTCTGGACCGACACAGGGACTCAGCCCCAAATTAAAAGTTCTTCCCTCCAAGGCACAGACCCACTGGTGGTCGCCAGCTCCGGTCTGGTCCGGCCCAGCGGCATAGTCATTGACTACTTAGCGGACACACTGTACTGGTGTGACACGGAGCGTGCTGTGATCGAAATGGCCAATCTGGATGGTTCCAATCGCCGAACACTTGTCCAGAACGATGTAGGTGAGGTTCGGGGAGGGGCGGTAGCCTCACCCTCCACTGAAAGTTGAGAATTTCGTATACAGTATGTTACACAGGCATCTGCTGAGACAAAAAGCAGACTGGCAGACCGACCAACTTCTCTAGGGTTTATGATCCCGACGAGGGAAAGAGTAGTGGTGTGAAATGATTTCTCCAAATCAGGATGAAAATTGGGGTTCCGCTGAAGTCACAGAGTAGGGGAGATGTACATCATAAAAAAAATTTTATATATATAATATAAATGACACTTATCCCCCTAAATGAAAATTAGAGCTTTGATATATGAAGGTATAAGGGGTGTGAGCAAAACTTTCTAAGCAGTGTGTAAAGATGCCCTAGTCCAAACCCCAAGGCAAGGGATAAACTTTATTTTTTGGTATTTTGCACTGCGCCTGGCAATGCTCTCAGGGGTTACTCCTGGAAGGGTTCAGGGGTCAGCAGCGCCATGCCCACGGTGCTGTCTCCCTAGGCCTTTTTTTGCTGCTGTATGTCGCTGGTCTGTGGCCCCTACAAGTTCTCATTCAAGGTCCCTGTGGTTCAAGGCGAGAACCATTTCCACCGTCACAGCGCCACCTGCTGGTAAACATGGGTGGAGTTTTAAGGCAAAGACGGAAGGAACTCCTTTAATGTAAAATACAATTATGGCTGTTCTAGAAACAAAATACCCATGAGGATGATGTCTAGGGTGGGCTCTTTTCTCTTTCTCTTTTTTTGGGGGTTCACACGTGGTGATGCTCAGGACTGACCCCTGGCTATGCACTCAGGAATTACTCCCGATGGTGCTCAGGGAACCATATGGAATGCCAGGTCTCGAACCTGGGTCGGCCGCGTGCAAGGCAAACACCCTCCCTGCTGCACTATCGCTCTGGCCCCTAGTTGTGGGCTCTTTTGTTGAAAAAAAATAGCCATGACTAATTCTGCCCCACGTTACACTGTGGGCGAGTAGAGGGTATTCTGCTGAGCAGGAGACCACAGACGAGGATAAATATTGTGGGTGGTCACTTCCATGCCCTCTCGGGAAGGGAAACCCATGGGAGCCGAGAGCAGAATGGTGGTTTCCAGGGCTCGGGCTACTGAGTGGTAGTTTTACCAACATGATTGTACTTCAGCATGAGTATAAGCCAGAGGACTGGAGCATTCGTTCAGGGGAAGGTGGCAACCTCATCAAGAAGATCCAGACTCAGGCCTGGAGCGTTAGCACAGAGGGGAGGGTGCTGGCTTTGCAGGTGGCTGACCCAGGCTCTGTCCTTGGCATTCCATAAGGTCCCTGAGCACCACCAGGAGGGATCCCTGAGTGCAGAGTCAGGAGTAAGCCCTGAGCATCGCTGGGTATGACCCAAACAGCAACCATCAGTCAGTCCCCTCACTGCATTGATTTATTTATTTGGGAGGGGGCTTATTTGTTTTGCCTTTCACAGTCTCTTCTTGCCTCCATTTCTTTTCTTTTCTTTTCATCACCTTGAGATACAGTTACACAGCTTTCATGATCGTCAGTCACACAACGATCAAAGCTCACTGCTTTTCTGGGCTTTGACTTGGCACCAAGGCCCAGAGACAAAAATGCTCCTGGATGGCCGTGGTCAATGACTGGGGGCCCTGGGACCCCGAGGAGGAGATGGCCTTAAGTCAGAGGAGGGAAACCAGTGCAGGGGACCAACACTGGCAGAGAAGCTGTGGGTGCGGGTCGAGTCTCCACATTTGCACCGCCTAAGCATCAGCCTGTCTTGGTGGCAGAAGGTCGAGGCCAACCCCTGCCCGAGATGGTGCAGGGCAAGCAGAGGGGCCATGGGTGAAGGGGGAAGACGCGTCCATGGGGCTCCGAAGGGTCATGATCCATGGGGCATACAGACAAGGCATCAAGGGATAGAAAGGGAGCTTGACAAACATCCCCTTGGGCTGCAGAGTGCATACAGCTAACCTGGGTTCAACGTCTAAGTGCATGTTCCTGAGCCCTGAGCCAGTGAATAAACAAAACTCACCTGGCTCCCCCGCCTGGTGCAGTGTCATCTCCTCAGCCCGCTTTGCCCCGGGGCTCCAAATTCCAGGTGTCAGTGCTGGAAGCTCGAGCCCTCTCTCAGGCTTCCAGTGCAAGATGAGCCACCGCATTTGGGGCTGGGTGGGGCGGGGGACGGGGTGCTGCTGGGCTTGTGGGTGCCCTTCAGGAACAACTTCCCTGTGAGAATGGGCGCTCGTGCAGGGCCCCCCCCCCCGCGCCCACCTTGGGGACCCTTCACTCCCGGGCCGAGGCGCGGCTCATGGCTCTGAACCACCCACAGGACGCCCGTTTGCCATGGCCGTGTTCGAGGACGTTCTGTGGGTGTCAGACTGGGCGCGACCCTCACTCAGCAGGATGGACAAGAGGACGGGAGGCCAGCGGGTGTGGCTGCGGGCCGGCATGCAGAAACCCTCGGCCCTGGCCGTGGTGCACCCACTGGCAAAGCCAGGTACCCGGGCACGACAGCGGCTAGCACGGGCAGCTGTTCCAGGCACTCAATGTTGGGGCGGGAGGGGGGCGACGGGCTCTCATGGAGGGTGGCACTCAGCCCATCTCCTGTCTCTGGGTGGGAGGTGTTAGGGTTTCCTGAGATTTGGGGTCCACAGTGACTCGCTGCTTTGTCCCTAGACCCTTGCTCGGATGAGAGGCGGCGTCAAGGGGTGCTGGCAGCTTATTTCGACTTCATTTTGCTGCTGCTGGGATGGGGCAGAGTTGGTGCTGGGGAGAGTGGGCAAGGAGATGCACCCAGAGCCTCGCAGGGGCAAGGTGTGCACAGGGCCGCGTCCTGGTGTGCGCTGAGCAGGGCGGGCGCCGTCTGAAGACCTGTGGTGGTGGTTGTCTCTGCTGGAGTCAAATCACCTTCTCCTCCAGACAGCCAGGATTCACGGAGGCCGGTGGGCTGCAACTCAGAGCGACCGAGTTAGTCCCTGGCATCACCACAGAAGTGTCATCCGTGTTGGCTGGATGCGGGGGTGACCTCTGCCCTCGCACCCAGCCATGAACGTTCCCCACAGGAGCCAACCCCTGTGTCCAGTCCAAGAGCCACTGTGAGCAGCTTTGCAGAGAGGGGTTTGGAGCTGCCCAGTACTTGTGCCCCGAAGGTTTGGAGAGAACCCCAGATGGTAAGAAATGTCAGCCTCCGAAGGGGCACCCGGCAGGTAAGAGGAGCTCGGGTGCCTCAGCCAGGTACAGTCTCGCCAATTCCTAAACAACAACAACAACAACAACATAACAATAAGGCTAGGGGCCATAGCAGAGAAGGCACAGGCCCGGCACACTGCCTACCCTGGGTTTGATCCCTGGCATCCCCTAGGGTCCCCTGAGCACTGCCAGGAGTAATTCCTGAGTGCAGAGCCAGGAGCAACCCCTGAGCATCGCTGGGTGTGACCCAAAACAAAACCAATCAAGCTTAAATTAATGTAAAAAAGCCTAAGGAGTGTCTCTGAAGGCAGGTGGGGAGTTTCACTGGCGTGTCTTTAGGGACCACTGTCTGCCACTGTGTGCTGGTTATACTCTCAGTATCCTGCCAATAACACCTTTAAAAATAATTTTAAGTAGATCTCTCCCTGTATACACACATATATACACACTTGCACACACCCGTCCCTCCACCAGTATACATTTCCCACCACCAGTGTCCCCAGTTTCCCTCCCCCCCCCCCGTGTCCACACTCTTGTGGTTTGCAGTACAGATACTGACAGGTTATCATGTATATCCCTTTACTTGCTTTCAACACTCGGCTCCCATTCAGTGTGATCATTTCTAACTATCATTGTTATACTGGCCTCTTCTCTATCCTAACTGCCCTCAGCCCCTGACACACTTGTGGTAGCTTCCAACCATTGACCAGTCCTCCTGGCCCCTGTTTTCCCCTGGCCTTGAATAATAGTCTTATCACGGTGAAATCACGGTCCTCCCGTTGTTCATCGATTTGCTCGAGCGGGCCCAGTAACGTCTCCATTGTGACAAGTGTTAGTGTGTTTGGCATATCGCATACGTCATGGGTAGCTTGCCAGGCCCTTCCGTGTGGGCGAGATACTCTTGGTAGCTTACCAGGCTCTCCGAGGGGGTGGAGGAATCGAACTCAGGTTGACCATGTTGGCTACGTGCAAGGCAAATGCCCTACCACTGTGCTATCCTTCCAGCCCACTAGTGACATAGTGTTTATGAATGTTATCAAATCATTAAAGGTTTTCTGAAATTTTTTTTAATCTCACAAATGGATGCAGTCATTCTATATCTGTCCCTCTCCTTCTGACTCATTTCACTTACTATGATACTCTCCAGGTCCATTCTTTTATAGGCAAGTTTCATGACTACATTTTTCCTAATGGCTGCACAGTATTCCATTGTGTAGATGCACCATAGTTTCTTTACCCAGTCGTCTGTTCTGAGGCACGCGGGTTGTTTCCAGATTCTGGCTATTGTGAATAGTGCCACATGGTAGGAAATATAGGCAAAACCCTTCATGACATTGAAGCTAAAGGCATCTTCAACAATGAAACACCACTGACCAAGCCAGTGGAAACAAACATAAACAAATGGGACTACATTAAACTAAGACACTTCTGCACCTCAAAAGAAAGAGTGACCACGATGAAAAGACAGCCCACGGAATGGGAAAAATTATTCACCCAATACCCATCCAATAAGGGGTTACTATCAAAGATACACAAGGCACTGGTGGAATTTTACAAGAAAAATCATTCAACCCATCAAAAAATGGGGAGAAGAAATAAACAGAAATTTCCTCAATGAAGAAATTCAGATGATTAAAAGACACAAGAGAAAAAAATGCTCTAATCACTAATCAGGGAGATGCAAATACAAACAACAATGAGCTATTATCTTACACCACAGAGGCTGGCTCACATCCAAAAGAACGAGAAGGACCAGTGCTGGCGCAGATGTGAGGAGAAAGGGACTCTCCCTCATTGTTGGTGGGAAAGCCGACTGGCCCGGCCCTTTTGAAAAACAATATGGACATTCCCTGAAAACTAGAAATTGAGCTTCCACATGACCCAACAATACCATTTCTGGGATTATACCTGGGGGGGGGGGGCAAAAATACATGGCAGAGATAACATCTGCACTTGTATGCTCATTGCTCTTGTTTTTCTGCTGGTACCCAGAAGACTCCAGGGTGCCCCCAGCTGGCTCCCCACCTCCACCATCTAGTGCACTAAGTGTGGCCGGGAGGGTATGGGGTGGGGGTGAGGGGTCTACATCCTTTCCACCCCCTTCCAGATAACGCCGAGTCTGGACTCACGGGCCTCGAGCAGCCTCTCTATAAACCCGATCAAACTGTTTTCAAGGCCTGAGAATCGTTTCTTTGTCTCCTCTGCTAGGTAATGACACAAATTTAGGTCCCTCAGTGATGCCCTCAGATGCCCCACCCAGCGGAAGCCTTGAAGCTGACGTGACGGTGACGGGGTCTCAGCCTTTGCCCGTGGTGGAAATCACCCTGTCAGGTATGAGCAAAGAGCTTTCCCGGGGGCTTGGCTTCCGGCATGCTCCGTTCTGCGCAGGGAATTCTGCACCTTCTCTCACAGCCACAGCTGGGCATGGGAGCCAGGCTGGCCCTCATAGGGGTCTTCAGAGCTCCGGGGAGACCTCCACCCCTTCGATCTCTCTCTCTGTCACCTTCTTTGGGGACATCTAACATGCAAGCAAGGAGCGAGAAAGGAGCACATTCGAGAATCCCCACCCCCGCCCCCTCGGCCTAGGATTCTGATCTTTGCTCCTCCTGACTTTTCTTCCATTCTGGGGACCAGAGGTTAGAAATTGGGGTGCAAATGTAGATTGGTAGTGTCATCTGCCACAGGAGGTCCTCCCCCTGCAAATGCTCTGGCCCTTTTCTGCTAAGTTGTGCGTTCATCACAAAGGGCTAAATAATGCACTGGTGATAAGTGCAAGATACCCAAATCTCCTGACTGTTGCTTTGTTTTTTTTTGTTTGGGGGCCCCACTCAGGGCTGATTCCAGGTTCCATGCTCAGGGATCACTTCTGGCAGGGCTCAGGGGGGCTGGGGATTGAACTGGCCTCCTAAGTGTAGAATTTTAAATATTTAGGGGGCCGGAAAGATAGTGCAGTGGGTAAGGCACTTGCCTTGCACCTGGTCACCTTGGGTTCGATCCCCAGCACCACATGCATTGGTCCACTGAGCCCCACTGGGAGTGACCCCTGAGCCAGGAGGAAGCCATGATCACTGCCAGGCATGTCCACGCCTCCAAAAAGTAAGGCTGGACTTCCACCAAATGTCCATGCTGCAACACAGTGTAAAAAGTCCACCAGCTCTTGGGTCAATGGGATTTAAGTTCCCACAGGCTTAACTTATTTCAGTTCTGGGTTAACTCAGCAGCACAATCTGCTCATAAGAAGCCTGGCGGGCAGTCCTTCCAAAGCGGTAGACACAGCGCGAGGCAGCTACCCGGGTCCCGGCTGCCCTGGCCGCCCATGCTTTGTACCCTCCCGCTTCTGTCCCCCTCGGGCTCTTCTCAGCCCAGCTGTGCTTGCCCCATGCCGAGCCTCAGCTGTCCTGGGCAGGGAACATGGTGCTCTTCCAGCCCGTGCTTCCCAGGGGTCCTGGGCAGGGCCAGGCTGGGCCCCCAGGGAGCATTTCGCGTGCACCCGAAAGGACCGCACCACTGGTGCTAGTGAATTCTGAAGCAGGTTCTGAACTCTGCTACTCCCCGACTCTGCTGACCCTTCGTGGATGTAGATGACTATTTTATCTTTCTTCTTTTCACTTTGTTTCTTGGGTCACACCGAGCAGTGCTCAGAGCTGGGGCAGCCACGTGCAAGGCAAGTGCCTTCTCTGGAGGATCACTCTTGCCCTTGTAATTCTTACTTAAAAAAGAAAAAAAGCCCTTTCTCAAGCCAAGGATGTGAGTCATTGATAAGCACATCTTCACATGTGTAAGGTTCTGGGTTTGATCCCTGGCACCACACACACAAGAATCACGTGTTTCTCCCCTACCCCCTGCCCTGTACTCCACCAACTCCTTCAACAGTCCTGTAAAGCGGACCGGACAAAAGCTTCCACCTGTTTCAGGGATGAAGATGAGTGACATGCAGGCCTATATTCCAGAGCCAGTCATGGGAGACCGCCACAAACACACACACACACACACACTCACACATACACTCACACACACACACTCACATACACACACATACAGACAGGCACACACACATACACACACTCACATACACACATGCATACACGCACATACACATGTGTGCATACACACTCACTTACACTCACATGCATACATGCACACACATGCATACACACACTCACATACACACATGCATACATGCACACACATATGTGTGAACACACATTCACATACACATACACACATGCACACACACATATGCGTGCACACAATTCACATACACATACACACACTCACACATTCACATACACATACTCACATACACACAGGCACACACATACACATACACACACGCACACACATGTGTGCACACACACTCACATACACATACACACACTCACTCACACACACACGTGCACACATTCACTCACATACACATACTCGCATACTCACATAGACTCACATAGACATACACACACTCACATACACACACGCACACACTCACACTCACACACACAGACACACACACACACACACACACACGCCTTGCCTTTCCATTAGGTGTAGCTGCCTCGAGGGCTGCATGTTACCAGATAAATGCCCAGTCAGCTTCTAATTCACGCTAATCCTGTGAGTGATTTAAGAGGTCTCGGGTCATTGGAGGCCATCAGCCATGCAGACGCAGCAGTCTAGTGATGTGAGGCTTCCATCCAGCCTTCCAGGCTTCCAGAAACATCCAAGTATCCAAGCATCCAGCTGCAGAGAGCTGAGTGACAGGAGATGGCCAGGCTCACTCCGGGGCCCCTCCAGAGTAATCCCACCCCCCCATTGGAGAGCAGAGCCACGCCAAGCCGGCATCTGCTTCCCACGTCTGCTCCCTGACTCTGTATTGCTTGCGTCCCCCAACTGCCTGGGTATTAAGGCCGGGCTCAGGGGCTTTTCTGGCCCCTTCATGCAGACAGCAAGCTTATGGGGGAGGGGTGCCAGGCGGTGATAGCTGACAGTTCTGATGCAGTTTTGGTAGGTGAGAGTCCTCGGACCTCTTGAGGCATTGGAGGGGGAGTTTGCACATAAATCATTAAAGGGGCAGAGGTGTTTGTGCAGGTTCTCAGCCTGCCCGGGCCCCTGGGTGCGAGTTTAGTGAAGTCTGAAATGCAGTGACCCTTTTCTGCACCGAGTTGCATGCTTTGTGACTTGGTAAAAGCACCGCAAGGCTTTGCGAGCCCCGGCATAAACCCCGGCCATGACAGATGCTATTATGTCTGAAACAGAACTAGCAGATCGACAATAAATTGTTGTTTTTATGACTGGTTCCCTCTGACCTTTGTGAACCTGGTAAAATGTGTCTTTGGGGGGTAAAAATATATGGACCCCCCCAAGTCAAAATGGCTGGGAATTCTCCAACTATTCATCCCAAGAGGCCATCAATCGTTTGAAATTGGACTCCGTTTACCCCTAGTAATTCTGTAGTTCACATCAGCAAATGCTTTTAAAAGCCATCAGCTCCCACAGAGCGCTCAAGGACTAGAGAGCCCCCGAGCGTGTGTAGCTGGGAGCCTGTGCCGAGGGACCTTCCCTGGAGGTCAGCAGAGTGCTTCTCGCCAGACACTGCCCAGAGCTGGGAAGGGTAGCGCTGGGCATTCCCTCGAACCCAGGACCTTCGCGTGTGTCTTCTCCTCTGAGGATGGACAGTGATTTCCCGCACTATGTTGCTTGCAGGGCAGGGGGACTGCGGCCCCCAGGGATGCGGGCCCAACGCGCAGTGCAAGTTCCTGGGAGAGAATGCCACATGCCGGTGTCTGGAGGGATTTACTGAGGATGGCAAACTCTGCGTGGGTAAGAGCAACAGCCACTCCGCCTCGCAGGGTTGGGAAAACAGAGGCCCAGCAACATTCTTTGGATCGCCCTGACTCCAGGTCTCCTGAAGCAAGACAGTGAGGTTGGAAGAACTGAATAAGGTGGAGGGCATCGGCTAAAACAACAGAAGATGGCAGGGGCCAGAAAGATGGCTCAGTGGGCAGGACCCAAGCTTTGCATGCAGAGGGTCCAGGTTCGGTCCCGAGCACCAAGACGGGGCACTCATGCTCCTGTGCCAGCAGCCTTGCCCACAGTCTGGGCACACCTGCCCAGAGGCTCAGACCCACCTCTGCTGGCAGATATTGGTGGGTGTCAGGTGGGCAGTGCAGTGGGGGCTGCGGGGGAGACAGGTAGGACTGCCAGGGTGAGAGAGGGTGCGCAGGTGCGGGGTGTGGGTGCCTGGGAAGGCAGGGCCTCCCCCTCTTCTCTGGGGGACCCTAATCCTGGGCAGGGAGGTAGAGCGTGGGTCTGGCACTGGCCTTGCACACAGTCAACACCAGCTGAATCCCCGGCACCCCATGCACACACATACAGGCACACACAAACACAGAGACATATGCACACACACAGACACATTTACAAACACACATACACAGACATGTGCATGCACACAGACACACACATACATAGACATGTGCATGCACACAGACACACACACATACACATATGTGTGCACACGCACACACAGACACAGACGTGTGCATACATGGACGCACAGACACATACACAGATGTGTGTGTGCACACTCACAAACACACAAACATGTGTGTGCACACAGACACATGTGCACACACACATACACAGATGTGTGCATGCACACACACAAACACACAGACGTGTGTGTGCACACAGACACATGCGCACACACACATACACAGAGATATGCATGCATGCACACAGACACACACACACACACAGACGCACACGCAGGAAACTCCTGGGGCCTGGTTTTGAGAATGAGGCCAGGCCCTGGAGGAGCTGCTGGCCACTGTGGGCGGCTCCGGCTCCCCGTGAAGAACCAGCCACCAAGCTGGTGCCGGTGCTGCCCCTGGCCCTCAGCACTGCCCGGGACCCCTCCCAGTCTCCCACCGGCCAGTTCAGCTCCACTAGGTGGTGTAGCTGGTGCCAAAACCAGGCATAGGGCAGGTCCCAGGTCTCTACCCCATGGCGTTTGCCCCTGCTCACTGCCCGGGGATGCTGTCCCTGCTCACCCGTACTGGTCTGAGCTGATCAGGGGCTTCTCTCTGTGAACACACCCCGGGCATGAGCCGCTGGCCACATAGGAGTCCGAGCTTTCATTTCCATGTGCTGTATATACATATATATTTGGGGGTGGGAGGTGTTGGGCCATACCAAGCTGTGCTCAGGGTCACTCTTGGTGGGACTCAGGGGACTCTGTGTGCTCTGTGCTGTTAGGGCTGGAACCTGGTTGGTCGCATGCAAGACCCTAACCCGTGCACCATCTTCCTGGTCCCTGTATTTGTTGATGTGTATGTGTGTGTGTGGGGGGGGGGGGGGGCATTGGGGACTACTCCAGACCGTGCCCAGGACTCCCTCCCTCCTGGCTTTGTCAGGCATCAGTTGCGTGCAGGGTAAATGCCTTAGCCGCAGAGGGCTGGAGAGGGGAACTCCCTCTCTTCCATTACCCGCCATCTTCCTCTGACACCAAGGAGAGGCAGGGACCTTGGTGTTAGAGGGGGAACTCAGGGGAGAGGGAAGGGGGTGAGTTGGGAACTGAAGAGCCGAGCCGGCAGCCGGGGCACTGAGCCAGGCTCGAGAATGCTCGGTGATGTAGTGGGGTCTGTGCAGGCAGGAGCCCCGGGCGGAGGGTCGGGACACGAAGGTCTGCTTATGCTGCAGCTCCAATAAATGACATAAGGACATTGTGTAGGGACTAGGGGACACCGTGCTGAGGGCAGCCAGTTGGAGGGACAGACACAGGGTGGTCTCCCCCCGCCCCCGTGGGACTTTGAGATACACCACAAGGGAGCAACAGGGGGCCCGAGGCAGCACAGGGGGAGAGCTGACCCACACAGCTGACCTGTGGAGGCACAAAGGGAGGGCCCAAAGGCCCTGGGGAGGGGGCGGGGTTGGAGGTTTGCACAAGGAAGATCCTCACTCACACCATTCACAGCTTTGCGGGCCTGAGAGTCAATACAGTGGGAGTACAGTGCGGGGGCACTTTCCTGTGTGCAGTTCATTCTGGTGCAACCCGAGCACCCATACAGCCCCCAGAGCCCCAACCCAGAGGGGTCCCTGAGCACAGAGCCAGGAGTCAGCCCCAAGCACCGCTGGATGTGGTCCCCAAACAAACAAACAAATAAACAACACCCCCCCTCCAAGTCTTGTAAATCACAGTCCCTCCGTCCATAAAGATCCTTCTTTTAAAGAGGTTAAAGAGGACATGTAGGTTTGCCTGGAGCCAGGCACGCTGTGGCTTTCTGTTCTGAAAGCTCCGCCTGGCCCAGGTCCACGTGGGGGACAGGCCTGAGAGCGCTCCTGGCCGGCTGTCCCGGGGTTCCGCCCCTCTGAGCCTCTCTCCTCCCCTCCCCTCCCCTCCCCGCTTTGCTTGGCCGGCAGATCTTGACGAGTGCCAGCGGGGCACACACACCTGTGGGGAGAACGCCACCTGCGCCAACACGGAAGGGAGCTACCGCTGCCTGCACGCACCCGGCCAGAGCTGTCCCGGTAAGTCCCAGGCGCTGCCTTCACGGCCCCCCTTCGACCCCCCCCCCCCCGGCTTCCCCAATGCCGGGCTTCAGAGTCACACACAGCCCAGGTTTCCTCCGTTTCATGGCAACTGGTAATGGCCCCTTTTCTACGACTCCCCCAGAGAGAGGTGGGGACGCGGGTTCTCTGGAGCTGCGGGGAAGGCTGCATTCTTGGCTGCTGGGCAACCCCGGGAGGAGGAGGGTCCCGGGCCTTATAGGGCCCCTCTGTCCCACCTCTTCCAAGGGTTTCTGAGAGAGAGTGACCTCCCAGAATCACTGTTCCTGGGCTGGATAGTACAGCAGGTGTCTGGCTGGCCAGAAGCGACCCTTCCCCGCACCCTGTATGGTTCCTGAGCCCTGCCTGGGGTGCCTCTGTGCCCTGCCCTCACAGCCCCAGAAGTCATAATTCCCTTACCTGGAGAAGCATTGCAATGCAACTCGGGTTTTCCTTAAATGTTAATAGTCATCAGAATAGCGTCAGCAGCTGTTTTGTCAGCCGCCCTGGCGGGAGCTTCTGAGACTCAGTGTCCAGAGGGCAGCTGGCTGTACCCGCCTGGGAACAAAGGGTTCCAGCCGCCCCCCACCCCCACCCTACCCCGTCTCAACCTGGTACGCAGAAACATCCTCAGGAAAGTTTGGCCCTTGCTCGGCTCTCCCATTTTTTTTTTCCAAAAAGACTTATTATTCTGTCTAATGATCAGCTCTTCTAAAGAGCCCGGTCTTGCTGTGGCTGTCATTTAAAGCAAACACGCTGATCTCTCTTAGGCAGCATGAGTCCTTTGGTTAAAGGGACAGCCCCACTCTGGGGGTCACAGAGACAGTTCCTTCCTGTCCAAGTAGTTTTAGTCTTAGAGGACGCCCCCCAAACACCCGATATTAAAAATCATTTTTCCAAGAAAGCATTGTGTGGGAACGATTCTTGGAGACTCAAGGACCCTGGGCATGATGAACTGTGTGTTCGGGGGTTTCTGAGGCTGCGGAGGGCGGGGGGAGTGTTGGGGGTGCTTGGGGTATTCTGGAGTCTCTGAGACCTGAGAAGGGCCCTGGGATAGCTCGGCAGACTGGGTACAGGCTCTGTGGGATGGAGACCCGGGTTCCACCCCTCAGTGTCCCCTGAGCACAGTCAGGAGAGACCCCCAGTACTGCGGGCTGTGGCCTGACACAAACCCTATAAAAATGAAAACCACAAGGAGCCACGCGGCGTGAAGCCACGTGGCGTGAAGTTGTGCCTCAGCGTCATAAACGGCATTGGGGACGATGGTGGAACCGCTCCTGAAGATTCCCCCTGGTGGCCAGAAATGGACTGTTTGTTCTCCAGTCACCTGCGCTGCACTTTGGGCCCTGGCAGAGATTCATTCCTGTGGCTGGGCCGGCCAGTGTGATGGTGGGGGGCAGGGCAGCAGTGGAGGGGTGCAGAGACGCCGGGAACGCCTTGCCCAGGCTGAGCCCTAAGCTGATTCCCGAGATTCCCGAGCATGCCTGGTGTGGCCGACTCAGAAGGGACAGGTGGGCGGGAAGCTCTCAGCGTCATGGAGGTGATGACAATGTTTCTGCTTCCTCTAGGCGTGACCCCACCATCCCATGCCGGGAAGGAAGGCCAGCTTGCGGTGCGGACATTTCATGAGGACTGCCCGCCCCTGTACGACGGCTACTGCCTGCATGGGGGCCAGTGCATGTACTTCAAGATACTTGAGAGCGTCGCGTGCAGGTAGGCCTCGGCCCTGCCTGGCGTCTTGCTGCCCGAGAACCGTCCCGTCTGCAGGTGCCTCCATGAATCTAATTCTCTGAAAGGAACCACGTCTAAATTCCATGTGTCCGAAGCTAGAGATCCTACAGGCAGTGAGGTGGTCGGTCGCATTGCCTGTGGTGACCTGGGTTCTCTCCCGGGCTCCTTGCTTGGGGGCTACTCCTGGCTCTGTGCTCACACAGCAATCTGGTGGGTCATGTGCAGAGCAAACACCTTACTGGCCGTTCTATCTCTCCAGCCTCACTCTTCTTTATTCCGGGGGAGGGAGATCTCCAAGAGGTCTTTGGGGGACCCAAGGTCCACTGCTGGTGGTACTTAGCCCAAAGCTGCTTGGGCTGTCCTTGGGGGGCCATGAGGAGTTGGGGATCCAACCCAGAGCCCCCTCAGCCCAGGCCTGCACCCGGCCCTCGCAGCCCCACGCTCTTTTTGTTTGTTTGCTTTGGGGCCACACCTAGTGGGTTCAGGGGTCACTCCCGACTTGGTGCTGGGGAAACTGTGTAGAACTGGGCATTGAACCCGGGCCTCCTGCACACAAAGCCGGTGCTTGGGCCCACTGAGCATCTCCCACACAAGCTCTCCTTTCAAAGACAATCGAGGGGAGCAGCTGAGCCTGAAAACTCAATCGGTCCCTCATGGCCAGTCGCTGCACCACTGACAGTTTCCTGGATGCTCTAGAAAAGAGTCTGAAATATCAGACCCTCCCCCCAAAGGAGGAAGTGTGCGCTTCTATTGGGTCATCCCAGAGGATGATTCTGTTCTGCTGGCGCTTGCAGAAGAAGCCATGTTAGCCCGACCCCAGAACTCTGGAATCTTAGGAAGAGCGAGTCAGTGGGAACAGAAGGCTGGCATGTTCTAAGCTAACACAGATGTGCTCCCTTGCAATCGTTTTCCTCGATTCTGAAGAGTTGTGGGGGAGCTAGGTCAGAGGGTGGGGTGCAATGCAGGATGCTGGGGTTCAATCCCTGGCACCACTGCCAAGTGCAGCTCAGACAGAATCAGCTCCTCCTCTTCCTCCTCCTCCTCCTCCTCCTCCTCCTCCTCCTCCTCTTCTTCCTCCTCCTCCTCCTCCTCCTCTTCCTCCTCGCTTCTCCTGTCTGGGCGCCCCAATGTTGAGGCTGTGAAAGCAAAGGCCCTCATCCGTGAGGCTGACGGTTTCTGTTTTTCCTTTTCAATCCTATCCTGGGTGGAGGCCAGCCAGGAAGGGGCCACAGGCCACTAGGTGGCAGCCTTGGCTCATGCCTTCAGGCGAGACCCTCTGGTCCCGGCTATGGGACACCCCCCCCCCCCCAGCCATGGCTGCTGGGGGATGCCTCCCCCTCCTACCCTCCCTCCCAGCCCCTCAGCGTGGGCACCTTCTTTTGGGTGATTTTTCAAAAAAGAAACAAGAAAGTGGCCCCTCTCTGAGGCTCGGCTTTGCTCCCATCCAAGGGGTCACGGTTTCCATCCTAGTTTAGACTTTAGAAATGATTCCCTCTGCATCTTCACCCCGGAGGCTGCATCCTCAGGCCTGGGCGTCGGCCGTGTCCTAGACATCCATACATGCCCCCTTCTCCCGACTCCTGCCCAGCTGCCCCTGTCCCAAGTCCCAACATTTATTTGCTTGTTATTGTTTTATTCATTCCAGCTCCCGACACTTTCTCAGCCACATGTCCGCCCTCTGGGGCCTGGCGGCCAGCGGACACCTCCCAGGGCCCACACCCCGGCAGACCCTCCCTGCAGCTCTGGGCTGTCTGGCCCAAGTCCCCTTTCCTTGGACTCCCGGGCAGGTCCTCAGGGAACTGGATCTTTAACTGACATCAACTGGGCCGCCCGCCCCAAACAGTCCACAGCGCTGGGCCACAGGCCTGGGGACAGACCAGCTCGGCCCGGCCCTGACCCGTGTCTCCCCGCAGGTGCCTCGTGGGCTACACCGGGCCAAGGTGCGAGTTCCTGAACCTGGTGGACCTGCGCAGCGTCCGGCCTTGGCAGCCGGGGAGCGGCACAGTGGCCGCCGCCTGCCTGGGGGCGCTGGTCCTGCTGCTGCTGGCACTGCTGGGGCTGCTGCACTGCCACAGGTGACCCTGGACACCAGCCCAGCCCTACCCCACGCCACTCCTCGGGGCTGGACCGGGGCTGGGCTCTGCTCTCTTCTCCCATGCGCACTCACACACATATATGGACACACACTCACACACACATATGTGGACACACACACGAAGAAACACACTCACCCACATATGTGGACACACATGGATAAACACATACACTCACAGACACACACATGCACTCATACACACACATGCACACAGACACACACTCGTGCGCACAGACACACACGTGCACACTCAGACACACATACATGGATACACGCACACATGCACTCACACACACACATACTTGTGTGCACACAAACACACACATGGACATACATACTCACATGCACACATGGACACACATACAAGGACACACACACTCACACATACACAAACACACACATACACACAAAAACACAAACAGATTCACACATACATTCATATAAATTTACACATGCACACGCAGACACACAGACACACACAGACATACGCATAGACACATACACTCATATACACACAGACACACATACACTCATACACACACATGCACACACAGATATACACATACACTGATACACACAGATACACACAGACACACAGACATACACAGAGACATAGACACACACAAACACACACAGACAGACACACAGACACACACGGAGACACAGATACACACACAGACACACACAGACACACACAGACACACACACAGCCTACACCCTCCTTTGCCCACTGGCCTTTCTGGCATGTCTGGGGCCTGTCCTGGCCACCGCCTGGAGCAGCCTCACTTCAGCTCTTGGTTTCCGGGGCCGCCTGACCAGTAGCCCACGGGGGTCGGTTCTGCCCTCCAGGGCCCTTTGCAGCATTTCCTGGCCACCTGCTGTGGCTGCAAAAGGGTCAAGCACAAGGCCTCTGACGTGGAGCCACGTCCCCCTGCCCCGCTTCCCACTGCCCGCTCAGGGGGCCTCTGCCCGTACCTTCCCCTGGCCACCTCCACGTCCCCTCCCCGCAGTCCCTGCTGTGGGCACTGGGCCCTGCCCCCATGGCCAGCTCCAGGCCCATCCCCCTGACCTCCCCAGGGCCTGGCACCTGCTGGGCCTTCCTGGGCTTTAGTGCCCAAAGTCCACAGGTCTCACACTGGATGGGGGCAGGGCACCCGCGGCCCTGGCCACTCACCCAGGAGGAGGTGGTGTCTGGCAGCCTCACTGCCCAGACCCCTGCTGCCCCGTCTGCTTCCCTCTCCCAGGGCCCAGGTCCCCCACAGAGGATCACTGGTCCTGGGCCTCCCCTGCAGGGCACAGACTCAGAAGAACAGAGGACCCACCCTCGGCCCTGCTACCCCTTCTCTCGAGTTGCTGTCCCTGGTCACTTCTGGGTGGGCGGGTCTGCTCTGAGCGGGGCCTCAGTCTGTGGCTTTCCCACAGGGCTCGGAGGCGACACTTGAACGCGCCTAAGGACCCCACCGCAGCATCTGGAAGCGGAAAAGCCCCTGTGGGGGTGCCCCCCGGTCCCCAGCCCTGGGTAATGCAGCCGCCCTGGTCAGGGTTACAGGGATGAGGAGGGGGGCTCACCCCAGTTCCTCATCCACTCAGCGCTGGGACCCTGCTAGCTTCCCGCCCAGGTCGGTGCTGGCCGGGGGGGCAGGTTGGCCCAGGGACCATCTGTCTCCAGGTAATGACTTTTGAGGAGTGCATGTGACTGCGTGTTCTCCCGGGAAGCCCCTTCCTGCTGTGCGCACCTTAGTGTGTCTGCCAAAGTCCCCGGGCTGCTGGGAAGAAGTGGCAGGTCCTCCTGATGCCGAGCACTGCTCCTTGGACACGCTTTCCATCGGGCCGGCAACAGTGTGTGCCAGCCCTGCAGACAGACACACAGGCATCCTGTGTGGGCTGGAGCCCATGGTCTGGGCTTGCCACGGTGCCACGCCCCAGGGTCCTGCCGGCTGTTTCCACAGAAGCCACCAAGGGTTCCCCTTGAACGCGGGAGAGACAGAGACGCACAGTGCCTCCTCCCTGCCACCCTCACTTCCCAGAGGGAGCCACAGACGCTGAAGAGCCTGGGGAGGATTTATGAGTAACCGCGTGCTCCTCTTCCCCTCTTGCTCTCGCAGTTTGTGGTTCTGAAGGAACACCAGGACGGAAGCAGCCAGGGCCACCCAGACCCCCTCAAGGACAGGGCAGATGCTGATGGCCCCAGGGCACACGCTGGCCAGCTCTCCCGGCCTGAGCCAGGTAAAGGGGTGCCCTTGCCCCCGGCCAAGGCCAGTCTTCTTCTCCCAGGCACCCGGTATAGAGTGGGGTGGGTGAGACTGGGCATAGCATGGGCTAACAGACTGGAGATTCCTGAGGTGTCCCCTGTCACTCGGCTGCCACCTGGGAGGGACCCCTTCCTGTGAGTTAGGGCTCATGCTGAGCCCTTATGGGGGGCTCGGCACCCACCTTGGCAGTGGTGGGCTTCTTTCTTGTGAAAGCACATGAAAGTGTGCTTTGAAAGTGGATTCTTGTTTGAGGGGAAACGGGCTCACTCGGGCTGTTCCCGGAGGCAGAGGGGTGTGTTCGGAGCTGACCCAGGAGTCGCCCTCAGCTGACCCTGCTGAGACCAGGCCACAGAATCATCCCAGGCTGTCCCGGGTGGAACTATTCCCGGGCTGTCCAGAACCCACCGGTCTTTGAGTTGAAATGGCACCCGACCAGAGCAATAGGTCTGCATACAGGCGGTTGGGCATGGAGCACCCCCTCTGTGGTCCCCAGAGCACTTTCAGGAGTGACCCCTAAGCACAGCAGCCTCTGGGCTCCGTTGGGTGGGACCCAAACCAAATCCCAGGTGTCATGACCTGTTCCATAATAGCCCCGAGCTGGGCCTGTTTGTACCTGGAACCTGTGGGAAGGTTTGGAGCCGCTGAGGCCCAGAGCAATTGCCCTCCAGCGAGAGGGTCTGGCTCCTCTTTCATGCCTGTCACCTGTCTGCACAGCCCTCCGGCTACCGTGTGGAAGGAACATAGGTCTGAGGGCCAGGTATGCAGCTCGGTGACAGAGCACAAACCCCACAGGTTTTTCCCCGGTTTCCCACCTTGGCACCCCCAAGAAAAGGAAAGAAAAGAGATCTATTGTCCTGGGATTGCCCCGATCATGAAGGTTCTCACACACACAGGGGATTCCAGGGGCCAGAGAGTTGGCACAGGGATGTAAGCACTCGACTTGCTCGTGGCTGACCCTGGTTCGATCCCCAGAGACCACCCCCGCCCCCGGGGGTGAGCCCTATGAGCAGAGCCAGAAGTAAGCCAGAGTCCAGATCCCAAAACAAAACCCAAATCCAGAGCACGGGGTGGGGTTGGCTGTTGGATAGCTTGTGTCTCCTGTCTCCAGCTGACAGGCAGCTCGGTGTTCATCTGGCCAGGGTGCGAGTCCAGGAACTTGAGGGCAGAAATGGGTTTTTCTCTTGGCCTAGGGCCTGTACCACTGACCGTGTGCAGGATGCCGCTGCCGACACAAGCAGAGAGCACAGAGCCTGGAGTTCGCCTCGCACCCTCTCTGCAGCCGGACCCCGGCTCCGCTCCCCAGGCCCCCGCAAAGGACTCCTAACTGCCTGACTCCGGGCACCCTGACCCTGGGGGTTGCCCATCTCCTTCTCCCCCATCGATGTACCCTCTCTGGCAGCGAACACGGAGCGCACGGGCATGAAAGCAGGGCTGGCAAGGACAGGGATGAGTATGCCTGCAGGGGAGGCGCTTGTCCTGCCCAGGCTCGACCCCGTTGGATCCCTGGCACCCTGTGTGCTTCCCCCAGGCCCCTCTAGGAATGATTCCTCAGCATGGAGCCAGGAATAAGCTCTGGACACAGCCAGCCTGTGGTCCCATAACCAACACAAATGAAAGCCATGGGCTGGGAAGAGCGTCCGGGGTAAGGCACTCGCCTCTGCCATCCCGGCAGCAGAGGGGCCCCCAAGCGCCCCCCACAGTCAGCCTGGACACAAAAAGCAAAAACAGCCAGGTGGAGAATGAGCAGCAGCTAGGAGAGGACCCACCCAGATGCTGCCTCCACGGTCCTGGCCGCAGAGGGGGTCCTGTCCCCTGCCCCAGGGGCACTCATGTGCCATTGCGCCTGCTGCTCCCTCCAAAGTGCTCTCCCCACAGATTCGATGCGAGACCAACCCCGCAGACCTGCTCAGGGGCTTTAGGAGCCAAAGTGGGGAGCCGCCCTTTGTGATCTGTGCTTCTGTGCTATCTCCACAAGTCCATAGAGAGAACGCGCCCCCCTCCTAACCCCACCCCCCGTCCCCACTGCAGCCCCAGAGGAAATCTGGGCTCACTGCAGGCAGTCACACTGATTGGGACAATTTTCTGTCCTTTATTTGGACAGAACATTGAGTTCAACCTCAGGGAATGGTTGGAACATTAAAATCACAGTGATGATTCATTCACATGGCCTTATCGAGTGCACCGGCAGCCATGCAGAAGGGATCAGGGCAAATGAGTGACAAGTGTGCTCGCGCAGAGCCTGGCTCCTTCAGAACCCTGTGCTCTGTTTGCTCTCATGTGGAAGCCCCTGAGCGCGGGCCGGGGAGAGAGGTAGTACAGCAAGGGAGGCACGGGTGTGCCGCCGACCCGGCACCAGGAGGGACTCCTGAGCACAGAGCCATGAGTAAGCCCCGGGCACCCGCTGGTGTGGCCCCAAGTCCTCCCCGCAAATCTTTGGAGGAAGGGGCGGAGATGTGACTCAGAGGTCCTGGATTTGGTCCCCAGCACCAGCCTATGAAGAATGAAATCTTTGAATGAAAACATTTCTTTCTTTCTGGTTTTTTTGTTTGTTGTTTTGTTTTTGTTTTTGTTTTTGTTTTTGTTTTTGTTTTAATTTGGTCTTCTTTTACTCTGGGCCACACTCACCCAGCAGCGTTCTTGGGATAGTTCCGTATGGTGCTTAGACAGCACTGCAGGAAGGACAGGGAACCAGGAGGTGCCAGGGCGGGGCTCAGGCCCCGCACGCAAAGCCTGTGCCCCCCCGAGCACGTGGACAGGCCCCAATTTCTAAACTATGACCCGAGACTCCGGGGTTTTGCTGCCATTTCTTTCCTTTCCCTGTTGGATTTCCCAGTGATCATGTAAATTCCCTCTTGTGTGTTTGCACAGAACCTTCACGTATTTCCAGATATGAGAATGTCAATAGCATGCCAGATTTATTTTCCGTATGGAGAGCAATCAGTTTCTTCTAATTATTGAAATAAAACCTCCATGAGACAAACTGCTCGTGTGAATCTGGTTGTTAATAAATTCCATGTGAAAGGGGAGCCAAAGGGATTTGCTAAGCTTTCTGTTATTGAAAGCAAAACGGGTAATCTTTTAGCACGAGTACGAGGCAAGAGGATTTCAAAGTAAACGCCAGTGATGCAGAGGGTCCTATCACTACATGGTTTCTTACTCCTGGCTGGATTGTTGGGGGCGTTAGATGATTCCTTATGCCTAAGTGTCTTCCCATCACGTATCTTTTCTGTCGCCCCTCTTCAGTTCCTCAAACTTTGGTTATAGCCAAAGTTAGGAGGAAAAGGAGCTGAAGCATGCATCTTCCAGTGGATCTTTCTTAGAAATTCTGGTGGCTTCCGCAGCAGGAAGTTGGCGTGTCAGTCAGTTATTCCTTACGGCCCTTCCCCCTGGTTCGTTTCAATTTTTCCACGATGCTTTTGGGTGAGGCCTTTGCCTTCAGTGGCAGCTGCCTCCCACCTAGTCAGTGAGACCTTCATGTTTATTTATAATGAGTGAATCAACTCCAGAACAAGGACAGTCAGTGCTCTCCCACGGAGGGGCAATTATATCCCTAGGTGAGAACAGTTGTTCTTCTCCCAAAATGAGCCTCTGTGAAGCTGTTGGGCTCAGGGATTTTCCCCCGTGTGCTTGCGCCTCTTTCTTTAAGGAACTCAGCCACAACCAGACTCGAGCAGGCCTCAGACAGCTTGTCTTCCAAAAGCCCAGAAACGCCTCTTTCCTTTGAGCTTTCACCCAATCTGGTAGCCCAGAGTTGGAACCGTGTTATGTCCTTGCCCAGCTCCCGGGTCAGGTGGAAGGAAGGACAGGCCAATGCCGGCAGGTGGCCCGAGACTCAGTCTCCTGTCCCACGGCTCCATGTCACCACCTGCACAGAGCCAGTTGTTTATCACAGCATTTTCATTGACAGCACAAAATGCACCTTCCCCAGGCTGATTGTCTCCTCTCAGGCCTTGTACCCAAGGATGCTTCGACCCTGACCCTGTGGTCTGCATGTCCCCTCCACAGGATGAGTGAGGCATTCTGCATTCCCCAGGCCGAGGTATAGACTTAGAAGTCTACCCTACCCCTAGTGTAGACTTAGGGACCTACCCCAGCCACCAGTGTAGACTTAAGGACTACCCCAGCCCCAGTGTAGACTTAGGGACCTACCCCAGCCCCCTCCCCCCAGTGTAAACTTAGACACCTACCCCAGCCCCTGGTGTAGACATAGACACCTACCCTAGCCCCCTGTGTAGACTTAGGGACATATCCCAGCCCCCCAGTGTAGACTTACGGACCTATCCAAACCCTGGTGTAAGCTTAGACACCTACCCCAGCCCCTGTGTAGACTCAGGCATCTATCCCAGCCCCCAGTGTAGACGTAAGGACCTACCCCAGCCCTCAGTGTAGACTTAGACACCTACCCCAGCCCCAGTGTAGACTATGGACCTATCCCAGCCCCTTTGTAGACTTAGGAACCTACCCCAACCCTACTGTAGACTTAGGGAGCTACCCCAGCCCCCCCCCCCCCCGTGTAGACTTAGACACCTACCCCAGCCCCTGGTGTAGACATAGACACCTACGCTAGCCCCCAGTGTAGACTTAGGAAACTACCCCAGCCCCCAATGTAGACATAGACACCTACCCTAGCCCCCAGTGTAGACTTAGGAATCTACCCCAGCCCCCTGTGTAGACTTAGGGACATATCCCAGCCCCTGGTGTAGACTTACGGACCTACCCAAACTCTGGTATAAACTTAGACACCTATCCCAGCCCCCAGTGTAGACGTAGGGACCTACCCCAGCCCTCAGTGTAGACTTAGACACCTACCCCAGCCCCAGTGTAGACTATGGACCTATCCCAGCCCCTTTGTAGACTTAGGAACCTACCCCAACCCTACTGTAGACTTAGGGAGCTACCCAGCCCCCCCCCCTGTGTAGACTTAGACACCTACCCCAGCCCCTGGTGTAGACATAGACACCTACGCTAGCCCCCAGTGTAGACTTAGGAAACTACCCCAGCCCCCTGTGTAGACTTAGGGACATATCCCAGCCCCTGGTGTAGACTTACGGACCTACCCAAACTCTGGTGTAAACTTAGACACCTACCCCAGTCCCTGTGTAGACTTAGGCACCTACCCCAGCCCCCAGTGTAGACGTAGGGACCTACCCCAGCCCCCAGTGTAGACTTATGGACCTATCCCAACCCCTTTGTAGACTTAGGAACCTACCCCAACCCTGCTGTAGACTTAGGACCTACCCCAGCCCCCCGTGTAGACTTAGGGACCTACCCCAATACTTAGGGACCTGTGTTCTTTTGGAACCACAGAGACCAGCTCAGCTTGTTGGCCTAGATTCCCACGCAATATCCTATTCGTGTATTTATAACAGTCATTATTGTGTGATCATCAGAAGTGTCTTAGGGAGCAGAGAGATGGTATATGAGGTTAGATGCTTTTCTTTTTCATGGAGACAGCACGAGTATCCACCAACAGCAGAGAGACTAACTTTTTTAAATATATTTTAGTTGATGGGGTTGGAGTGCTCTCAAGTGGTGCTCGGGAGGTTCTGTAGGGCCTTATTGCGAATTCTTGACCAATCACTGTTTAGTGCAAGGGCCTAAGGATGTGCTGATGTTTGGGCCTGCAGTGTCAGGATTTTGGGCTGCACTGGGCTGACCAGGTGGTGCTGGATATTGAATTCAGATGAGGCAGGGCCAGGCATGCACCCTACCCACTGCCCTGTTTCCTGGCCCCAATATATACTATTCATGCTGGGTTATAGGTAGCCATGAAAACAAGTGCAATCCTGCTATGTACAGAAAAATACAGCAAGCTGGAAAACAGGCTTGATTTGAATTCACATTCAAAGCAATTCACATTCAAGGAAAGAAGAAAGTCTTAGCTGGCAAGAAATTCCACTATAAAAAGGTCTGTAAATTTAAGTCAGAAGCTGCTTTTGCTGATGCAGGCTCATGTGGTATGACTATAAGAAAAATGAGGGAATTATTGGTCCCGGATCTGCAGGCTTGCCCTGGGCACTGGAGGGGGTACATCAGCGACGGGCTGGGGCTTCCCAGAGCTCTCAGAAGGCGCAGGCTCCTCTCCCTGAGACACAGAGGTGAGCACAGAAGAGTTTCCTTTCTGAGTCTCTGAGATGGCCTTGCTGTCAGATAAGTAGGTGGGAAAGGTCCGTGCTATATTTTGAAGAAAGAAGGTCGGAGGGAGAGTCCAGTAGGGAGTGTGTGCTAATCTTGTATGCATCCAAGCCCAGTTCAACCCCCAGCACCCCCGTATGGTCTCGAGTCCTCTCAGGAGTGAGCCCTGAGCACCACTGGGTGTGGCCCCACACCAAAGGTAGAGTGCAGAAGAGGACATGCCCCGGCTCTCCAGAGCGGAAGGCCCGCATTCCTTGCGTTGTGTCTCACTGGGACTGCTGGGCCGCAGGGAGCCTGATTCTCAGAGTGCCCAGAGGCGGGAAAGGTTGTTTACTTCAGGCTTCAAATGTTTGGTGGCAGAGGGAGCGGAGACACAGAGGAACGAGATCCTGAAGGCTCCACATAAGGTGACTTAGAACCTAGGAGGGAGCGTAGAAAACACTGAAGCCCGCCTTAGTGATGTCATATGAGCAATGTGGTGAGGGGGCGGTGGGCGAGCACCCCGCTGTGAGCAGGGTTCCCACGGAGCTGCCGTGACATCTCTCCCAGCATCTAAGATCAAGCCCCTTGTTTGGGTCTCTCCCCTCCACCTGCCCTAAACCTCAGTGTTGGCCAAATCACTCCTCAGATCCCTCTCGGAAGGCATATGCTTGAGCTGGAGGCGCTGTTGAAACACTTTGTTCTTCCTGCATTTGTGAGGGAACGAACAAAGATCCCTTCCCCAGTGACTCCGCCGAGAAACCCAGCTCCCAAATAGCAGAAGGGAAGCAGCAGCCCCTCCAGCTTCTGGAACCTTCTGCTGTGTTCAAGTACTTGAAAGAGCCTTTGTTCCCATCCCCTTCCAGACGCTCTTCCCATTTGTCCCCTAGGACCCCGGATGACTTTTCAGTCCCTCACACTTGTCATCATTTTCTCGTTCAAAAACAAGGCCTGAAAAATCCAAAGAGCTCTCGGTGAATAAAATGGAAAAGTCTGAACTCCAGGGATCACTCAGACCCCTCCAGAGGCCTCTCTGCCCGCATGGGAGAGAGCAGCCTAGAGGGATGCCAGCCCACGTCCCACACTCGGAGATGCCAGACATCTTAGCCTATGCCTCTCAGGGGGTCCAGAATGGACCCGAGAAAAAGAAATCACCCCGCCCCCCCTTAAGAAAACAGAAAGGGGCTGGAGTGATAGCACAGTGGGTAGGGCATTTGCTTTGCACGCAGCCGACTCAAGTTCAATCCCCGGCATTCCCATAGGGTCCCCCAAGCACCGCCAGGAATAACTCCTAAGTACAGGGTCAGGAGTAAACCCTGAGCATCACTGGAAGTGACCCAAAAAGAAAAAAAAAGAAAGAAAAGTGTCCCGCCCCCAACCAGGCCCCCAATTTCACCTGAGTCTAATACTAAGGCCTTCCAGCACCCCCTTGGGCATGGTCTTGCCCACTGTGGAGAATCTGGGCGAGGGCCACACTCTGAGGGAAATTTCCTCTGTGCCTCTGAAAAGATTTTGTTTCCTTTTTTTTTTTTTTTTTTTTTGTGAGGCCAGTCATTGGCCCCAGGGCCTCACTCGAGTGCTCTGAAGGCCAGTGTTTCCTGCCCTGGCTTTGGGCTGGACATTTGGTCCCCCCAAGCATGGTGCTTCCACAGGTTGCTACAGGCCAGAGAGAGAGTACAGTAGTTGGTGCTTGCTTTGCCTGTGGCAGGACTGCTTTGAATCCCTGGCATCAGATATGGTCCCTCACCCAGCGTCTAAACCAGGAGGGATCCCTGAGCACAAAGACAGGAGTAAGCCCTGAGCACTGCCAGGTCGATTGCCTTGAGCAGGCCCCAGTAACGTCTCTTTCATCCTAGCCCTG